ACATGGTCAAAAAACGCGATTTTCCAGCCAAAATATCTTCTTTCGCTATATATTCTATAGTACGCCAGCAGCCAGTTACTGGCCAGAGTAATGGCGGACCTCACGCATGCGCATAAAAATTTACGGACGCGTTGCAGACGTGAGTTGCCCTTCTATTCATTTCTTATTCTATGCCATAGGCTACGCGGTCAGGACGGTTCGATTGCAAAATGAAGTAGCCTGAAAAATCAAGCAGCGGGTTCAAACATTGCGGGCTCACACTCTTAAGTAATCGGCCATTTTGATTTTTTACAATTTTATTGGTTCACTGCGTACTTGGCTATTTCATATCTGTTTTATTTTATTCGAAGATGTGGTCTATAATAAGAAAAAACAAAGAGGTAAGTAGCTCCTTAAAATGGGCATTTGTGAAGTCGAAAAAAATTAAGCAAATGCGAAAAAATTTAGAAAGATTGATAGAATATAATTGAGGCTGTATATTGATATTGCTGTTTATTATTTGTGTTGTGATATAGTAGAAATTAAAATAAAATCCTTCAACATCCCTGTTGGCTGACTGTCTACACATTTTGAGATTGATGTCTTTGAAGATGTTTTAACTCCCCCCCCCCCTGAAAAATAGTTATACACCTATCAATGTTATGCCCCAGGACGGGGGGAGGGATGGACAACCCACTGGGATATTGAGGTTTTCAAAATAATTAGCTTTTTTGGTCAAAATTCCCCTCCCAGGGATACCTAAAAGCATACTGTTGAATATTCAGAGGACATTCATAAGGGGCCATCGACAAATAGGTTTTTGTCACGCTTAACAGGAAGTTGGCCGTTAAGGTCGCAACCCCCTCCCCCTTAGCAGCAAACTCTGAATAATGAGAAAAACCAATCTAGAGATATATAGTATGAAAAAGAAGCATCAGAACATCCTTGGGGAACAAACAATATTTTGTACACAGTTCAATGTATGCTGAAACCACTTTTTACCTCATAGTCAAATTGCACTTGTCCAGTTGTCCTATTAAATGCCCATGGAATTGGTTGATTTTAGTAAAGTTTGCAAAGTATTGCATCAAGAAAAGTTGAAGATGAGTTTTCATCACATAAAAATGATTTTAACGGCATTGACCACGATCCCCTCCTCCCTCTCTTGAATAAGAAAAGTTAATGTCCTGAACTAAGAAATGGATTTAGACCTTCAGAATGATGCACTATAAAGTCACCTTTGTGGAAATATTATGACTAAAACGGGCTTTTAGCCAGAAGTGTGTCCAGGTATCCTGGGATGCCCCTAGAATGAAAAATGGATGCCTTTGGACGCCCAAATTCTGGGGGGAACGGGAAATTATTTTCAATGATTTCCCTAAGTATATTAATATATCTGAAACGAAATAGCTTCATTTCTCATTATTATTATACATTTGACATTTTGATCAATTTGATATTTGATGGTGTACCTGGCTGAATCAAATAAAGAAGCATAGCGGCACAAACTCACAAAGCCAAGTCGAACGAGCTTGGAACAGATACTGACATGAAGTAATGTAAACTTCAAAGGTTTTCCAGAGGAACGTTTTCTCAAACACCCCCCCCCCCCCCCTCTGTACTGTAGATGTATTGTTATACCAAAATTGGACTCCCTCTTATAGGACCCTGGCTAAAAGCCTGGACTAAAAGTAAACATGTTTTGCCATTGTAATGTTAAATAGATAATGGCAAATTTGTGACAGCAATATTTTGCTGATGTAAAAATTTTGAATTTCAAAGGCTATTGAAAGAAAAAATGTCTAATGTTTCATTGTCCCAAACTCTAAAATATTTGTAGTTTTTTTGTTTTCAAGGCTTTATCAACAGTGGTGAAAATGTCAGACCCGCCCCTATCAAAATTGCCTTACTCTTTTTATTTCCAATGATTGAAAACGGTTTTGTTTCTGTCATTTCTCAGTTGTATCCAGTTACAGCATGTGTTGTCTTTGGATGTGTTCTTGCTGGCGGATACTTACTTAGAATGGCTGTACAACATCCTGATGCAGCGTAAGTTAATTAACCATGGTTGCTCAGTTACACATTGTTTATTTAGAGATAAATTGTCAGATATTTGAAACACCCAGATTTTCATGAGATACCATATTTTAATTTCATACACCAATCAGAATGTTATGTGCTTAGTAATATTGATTGATTGAAAATAATCTTAATCTAAGGCCAAAAAAAGAAATACCTGGGTTTCCTATTTCTTGTTACATAGGTACTGTAGGTCGGGTTTTCTTTTTCCTGTTTGTTATTTTTTTATAAATGCTCATGCATGAGTGATATTCTAAGTCAATTACAGCAGCACAGATGGCACAAACATTTGTTAAATGTTATATCAACTTTGAAACAAACAGGTTGTACTTTACTGTATATAGCTAGTACAAAACTAACGCCACAAATTGGGTACGAAAAATTGCTCCAAACTCTTTGCAAACTTCAAACTTAAAAAGATTAGGGTCGGTGATTTCAGTAGGAGTTGTCTTTCATAAGGACAACGTCGTCAACCTTGAGGTCTGGATGGCGTTCGTTCCATTTTGATCTTGGTTGGAGTATTTGCAGATACTCGTGTCTCCACCGAATCCAAAATTGGTCAGCTAGGTACTGGACTCTTCGCCAATGTCTTTTCGAGTATGAATCTTGTTGGTCAAACAGTCCTGGTGGAGGGAGAAGTGGTTTTGTTTTCATCGTTAGTAGCATAGCTGGCGTCAGAGGTTGCGGTTGGTCGGTATCAGTTGGTATCAAGGCAATTGGTCGAGCATTAACTATTCCGGTTACTTCTGCCATAAGTGTCGTCAACACTTCTTGCGTAAGTCGAGAAGGTCCGATCTTAAGCATCATAGCATCCAGGATGCGACGTACTGTCCCAATCTGTCGTTCCCACACTCCCCCAAAGTGTGACGCGTGGGGTGAGTTGAAGAGCCACTCATAATCTTGTTCTGTGACCCATTGTTTGATATTTGCTAATTCCGCATCTTTAGACGCCTCGTCCAGTTCTGACTTTCCCCCTATAAAGTTTGTGCCACAGTCACATCTCAGTTTGGAAACTGGACCTCTAATGGATAGAAAACGTCGTAATGCGCAAATAAAGGAATTGGAATCCATGGCTTCTAAAACTTCGATATGGATTGCGCGGCTGTTCAAGCACGTAAAGTTTAATCCCCACCTTTTAGAGTTGGCTATCCCGCCTCTTGTCCGCCTGGTATGGATATCGGATAGTCCATGGTCCAAAAACATCGAACCCGACATTGGTAAATGGGAGGTGGAGTTTCGATTCTCTCTGAAAGTAGATCAGCCATGTGAGTTAAAAATTTCCTCGAAGTCTTTCTTCTACACGTCACACAATCATTGAGTATTTTCGACACCATGCGACTAGCTCCGATTATCCAATATCCAGCTGTTCGGAACTGCGCCAAGGGTGATCGGTCGTCCTTGGTGGTGAACCTTGTTGTGAACGTGGTGGATGAGTAGACGTGAAAGATGATTTTCTTGGGAAGGATTGCAGGGTGTTTCTCGGCTTATTCTTGGTCTGACCGACGTAATCTTCCTCCCACTCGAAGAATTCCATTTTTGTCTAGGAAGATTGATTTCTTCAGCAGTCCGGTACTTGTGGGCGTTCGACCGCATAATATCGTAATTTCGTTAATTTTAATTTAACAACTTTAATTTGGCACATAAAAAACTGAATATTTACATAACTTAAACGGACAATTACATTGTACAAGGAGACGAGGAAAGTGCCAAAAGTGGCGAAACACAAACGAGACTATGTCCCATGCAAGGTGCTCACCACTAGACAACAAACAAAAACAGGAAACAAAGACAAGGAAGATTAAATGAAAAAACTAAGAGAATGAAAAGGCAGAAAGAATGAAAAGACAAAGAGAGAAATGTTAGATATTTTTTATTGAGTCGTGATAAGTGAGTGTGAACTAGGTAAGTCAGGAGTGTAGGAAGTACTAGTGAGGTGGATGTAAGTCTTGCGCAAGTATGTCTTAAAAGAGGAGACAGTGACATAACAATACGAAGGAGCAGACGTACAAACATAGTTCCACAGTTTAACAATTCTAACACAATACGAACTTTGAAATGTACTTGTTTTGCATGCTTGTGTTCTCAGAAGACCAGAAGTGGCCGCACGTGTCCTTCCCGTTGTAACTTCAACATACTGCGATATGTCAAAATCTGTGAGACCGTACATGCATTTATAGAAAAATATCAAGTCCTTCTGTTCTCTGTCGTATACAAGCGGGATTAAATTAAGTTGCATTAAGCGCTGTTTGTAACTTAGTTCTCCGCGTTTCTTCTTTAGCATCCACAGTGTTGCTCTTCTTTGAACTCCTTCGATTTTCTTTGATAAGTGGCTGTTGTTAGGAGGGCACCATACCTCGCTTCCATAAACAAGTTGAGATTTAACTAGCGTTAGATATAAGGTCCGTCTGACCTGGGTGTGGTTAATGTCAAAGCATGAGCGTTTGAGGATACCAAGCATTTTATTTGCCTTCGCCACCATCTTCAGTATGTGTGGGCCCCATTTCAAATTGCTGGTCACGAGCATACCAAGATCTTTCTCGACTTGACAAGGAGATAATTCATTACCATATATGCGATATGGAAATCGCGTTGGGTGTTGCTTTCTTGATATTGTCAGCACTTTGCACTTTTCAGTGTTAAATCGCATTTTTGAATCAGTGCCCCACTTTTCCAGTTTGGCAAGGTCGTCTTGCAGGAACTGGCAATCTTCTACCGATTTTATTTCTCTGTATAACTTTGAATCATCTGCATACAGTGCTGAGTTCGTACTGGGTGAAACGTTATCGGGAAGATCATTTATGAATATGACAAAGAGCAACGGTCCCAGAATGCTGCCTTGCGGTACATCTGATGTTACTGGAGACCATGCAGAGGCTGCACCATCAATGACAACTCGCTGCCATCTATCGTTCAAGTAGTTTTCGAACCATCGTAAAAGCGTTCCGTTTATGCCATGCATTTGTAGTTTGTGAAGTAGGATGTCATGATCTACAGAGTCGAACGCTTTCGAGAAATCTATGTATAGCACATCGATTTGTTTGTTTCGATCCAGATTTTTACCAATGTCATGTAGTATACCTAGAAGCTGGGTTATACATGAACGATTTCTTAAGAAGCCATGTTGGACATTATTGATCAGTACACGAACAAAGGGGTAAATGTTATTGAAAACGCATCTTTCGAGAACTTTGGAAATTATTGGCAGAAGGGAAATGGGACGGTAGTTGGTCACGGGTTCGACACAGTCTTTTTTGTGGATGGGTATAACGTTCGCATGTTTCCATTCCATAGGTAGGCGGCCTGTTGTTAAGGACATGTTGAACAAACTGCAGAGGCTTGTCGAGATTTCTCTTGAAAATTCTTTCAGTAGACGTGGTGGTATTCCGTCTGGGCCATAAGCCTTTGTTGTGTCCAAATGGTTAAGGTACTGCACGACTTCATTCTGCGAGATCTGAATATCAGATATTATTTCGTCAGTTTTCGGTGTCATGTTCAGGTTTGCATCTTGGGAAGATGACTTCGGAAGAAAAACAGAGGCGAAGAATGCGTTGAAAAGTTCTGCTTTTTTGTGTGGTGTTGTTGCAGTTGAGTTGTTGTACGTGTTAGCAGTTGGGGAATTTCTATTGCGGAGGATATGTTTGTGGTAGGACCAGAATAACTTAGGTGATTTTGCGAGGGAATCTTGAACTTTTTCTATGTATTGATGGCGTTTTTGTTTAATCAAGTCCTTAGTTTCCTGTGTCAACTGACGGAGTTTGCGTTTTCGTCCTTCCGTTCGTTTCTGACGATATTGTCGTAGCGCTGTATATTTCTTCTTAACCATGTGTTTAACATCCCGGTCTATCCAAGGTGGTGTGTTGGTGTCAACGACTGTCTTTTTAGGTACAAATTTATCTATCGCTGTGATAAATAGATCTTTCCATGCTTTCCAACATTCGTCTATATCTGAATTATTGGATATCGCAGAATCGAGAGGGACATTCATTAGATGTTCACGAGCACCGTCGAAGTTTGCATTATTGAAGTCATACACTGTTCGTCTTATCGATTTTGCTTTTTGAAAACAAACTTTGATATCGAACTCGATAAGGTAATGATCAGTTGGAAATAGATCAGTTGGATTTGTGCAGTTCACGTTCGTGATGAGCTTCGGAGAATTCGAGAATACACAGTCCAATTTATTACCATGCAGGTGTGTTGGACCGACAGCTTTTTGGTAGAGAAATTGATCTGTAATAATCTCGCAAAAAAGTTCATCCTTGAAACTGCCTTTAGATGTGGGAGAAGGAAAGTCCAATGACCAGTCAATATTGGGTAGGTTAAAATCACCGACCAGAACAAGTTGACATGATTCATCTAAACGATCAAGAGAGTCTCTCAACTCGATTAGTGTATCTTCTTCAGAATTTGGTGGTCTATAGAAGAGACTTAATAGGAATTTCGAGCAGTTCGCAGGATACAGTTCGATCATGAGATGTTCACTTTGTTGACCTTCAAGTAGCAGTCTTCGAGATGAGCGCAGTTCATTTCTTATCGCTACAAGGACTCCGCCACCTCTCATGTTCCCGTGTCGGTCTTTCCTATGAATGGTGTAACCAGGTAGAATTTCGTTATCAAGAATTAATTCATTTAACCAGGTTTCGCACACACATACGATATCATACTGTTCGAGATAAACAAGATTCTGAAGAATGGTCAACTTACTGGTTTTCTTTGCCTTGTCGTCCGTAGATTCTGCGGTTGCCTTTAGACTACGAGCGTTTAGATACAAAGCTCTTAAACTGTTCAGTTTTGCACCAACTTGTTTTCTAGAGCTACTCAAAGCTGGTCCTGGATTAGGATGCACATCGCCACAGGCTAGAATAGCGGTGGTAGTCAAGTTGTATGACGCAGTGGTATTGCTGTAGTACTGAATCCTGGACTTGAGCCATTTGTGCTTTGTTGGGATTGGCGCAGGTACTTTATACGAGTGGGTGGGTTTGCCGAGAACGGAATATGAACGGACAACGTTCGATACGAATACGGTACAGCCGCGATACAAATGGCCACATGAAGTAAAAGAGTCACCGCGAGCAAACTTTGAAGCAGTTTATTTGAATGCAACATAATTCTGGCAAGATCTTAAATTAGCAAAGTTAGTTAGCAAAGTGTTCGCCTTGAGCTGTCTTAATCATTATTGATTCGGATTGTTTCAATTCTAACAACGGACCTTTTTTTATTCTGGCTGGATTGATGACTGACCACGACGAATCGAACTTTGGGGTTGTTCTCCATTACTTGTATCTTCTTTCTCTTCCATAAAAAAAGTGTTCGAATTTTCTCGGATTCAGTTCTCTCCGTACGCGTTGTGTAGCGTGAGTAGTAATTTCGGGCCGCAACTCTGGATCTTCGTTCTGTACACTGAAATCCATTCGTATGACGTCTTTTTCCGATTCAGGTTTAGTGAGGAATTCCGGTCCTTCAAAACATCGGTTGTCCACAAGGTTTGTGACGGTTGAGCCCCTAGTCGCAAGGTCGGCTGGATTATGACGTGTGTCTATGATTTCCACTGGGTGGGTTCTGACAGCCCGCGGATAATCTGTATCCGGTTAGCGACGTATACGTAGAATCGTCTACTCTCGTTTTGTATGTATCCTAAGACTACTTTAGAGTCTGTGTAATAGGTAACTTTATCGATCGTGATACTGAGTTCTGCGAGAACACGTTTCACTGCTTGTGTCGACAGTACAGCGGCACACAACTCTAAACGAGGAACAGTAGTTGGCTGCTTTGGTCCGAGCTTTGCCTGGGCGTAGACCAGTGATACGCTGATTTCTTCCTTGGAGCTGATTTGCTTTAAGTAGATCACGGTGGCGATTGCTTCTTCACTTGCGAGTCGAGAAGGCGTGTAGCTCCGAGCTAATGACTTGACAAAATTCTTTCCCATGATAGCATCTAGGGATGAGGACTTCTTAAGATGAATAACAACTTCTTCTACCGTTGATCGAGAGGTCAGTCCGTCGTCTACGTAAAAATCGCTGTGTACAAACTCTTTGGCTGATTTCCCGAAACTCTCCTCGCCATCTTTTGCGGTTTTTCTTAACCCGAAGGTTGCGACTGCTGGACTTGATGTATTTCCAAAAAGGTGGACGGTCATGTGGTATTCCACGATTTCATCAGGATCATTATTCTTAAACCAGAGGAAGCGTAGTACACCTCTGTGTTCCGGGTTGACATAATGAAACATTTGCTCTCTGTCGCATATGACACCGACTGTTTCCTGACAAAAACGAATCAATATCCCTGGGGCTACCGTGTCTTCCGGTGACATTCATTTCCGGTAACATTTATTTCCGGTCATGTGATAACAGGACACGAGGGTTTTTTGGGCGATTAATATGGACGCCATAAGTGTATATTAAAACATTTTAGTAGTGCATGAAGAACCAAACGGTTCTTAACGTAAAGAAAAAGGTAAAGTAAAGTAAAGTAAAGTAAAGTAAAGTAAAGTAACATAAATAAAGAGTAAAAATATTCGATTGTAATCGTTGGACGTGTGTTTGGAAACGTGATATTCGATAGCTAGTGGCGTCCACTTTGACGAGGTGTCAAAGATACTAACAATCCCATGCAGACTGTTCAGGAAATCTGGTCCAGAAAGGAGTTCTTTGTTCAGAGAAGTTCCTTGGTATTCGGAGGATGAATCGAATACAACTCGGATGTTATTGGGCTTTCTTGGGTGGTAGACCCCGAAATGAGGTAGATACCAAACATTTCTCCGTTTGATGTCATCATGGTCTTGTCGTCGTATCGCTCTACTTTCTGGCAGTGGTGTGGCGTGGTTGCGCTTCAATAGCTTTCCCATGAATTCGAAATAGTCTTTCTTCATCTTAGACTTTCTTGCGAAGACACGTAGTAAGTTACTAAGTCGTCGAACAGCTTGGTCTCTGTTGTTCGGCAGAATTATGTTGGAGGATCGGAATGGTAGTGGAAGCTGCCAATTCCCGAATTCATTTTTATGGATCCCTTTTTCCATTATGTCCACGAAACGCCTGTCTTCGATAGATAATTCGTTATCGTTAGAAGAGGTGTGGTATATGTCGTTGATAATCCTCTTCTCGCCGAGAATTTCTTTGACCATCCGGTTATTTGGGCAGCGAGTAAAGGTGAAATTTGTGTAATTTCCGGGCTTTGGGTCTTGTAGTTCCGCAAATCTTGTAGGGTAGCAGTGTCCGTCGCTCGGGGCACATTCGTTTGGTTTTTGAACAGTAATGCGATTGGCTGAGATATGCACTGCTCCCCCTAAGTAGTCTATAGACGGTATCCTATAAACGAAAAAAAAAACACAAAAAAACCCAAACAAACCACTAAAACAAAAATACAGAACTGAACCCGAGTATCAACAAACAGTATCAGGGTGGGGAAAGGGCGAAGGGGAACAGAGCGAAAGAGCAGTTGTTGCTGGCTAGCCAAGCTGTAGCAAAGTGGCAGATGCGCGAGAATTGCAAAGTGACGTCAGGGACTCCCCGCTGCTAGGTCGCAGGCATGATACATCTGCCGTTAACTTCGCTTAAATCTACGTCTAACCACATTTAACGGCAGAGTATTTGAGTAATTATAGTAAGGCTAATTATAGTAGCAATAGGAGTTTGCCATGACAATTCTGCCAAGGCAGACCTCCAGAAACGGTCAGTCCCTTCAAGTGCATAACTACCCTTATGTACTTGAAGAGGTAGTGCCTTGGCAGATTGCCATGGACACTTGACTCCATTGACTGACCGCAACGTACCACCAGCACCTACCATGGGGGGGGGGCATAGGGTTAACGGGGGCCGTCGGCAGCTCCCCGGATCTCCAAGTAGTTGAGTAGCGATTCGACCGGACACAAGGGAGAACGACCCAGAGTCAGAGTGCACCCTTGCCGAAAGGCATCGGTTTTAGACACGTTGATAAACACTTGAAGACAAGACGGCTCGACTCTTTGATCAAAGGCAACATCTTGATGGGATAAATGAAGCGATGGAGAATAGGAAGTGCCATGAGGTACAGTAAACTCGGATGATCGCAAGAAACCAAAATATGCCAGACAACAAGAAGCTCAGAACAAAACGTCATCGTAAACTGCGAAGTCCAAGCAGCGATAGATAGCGCTAGGAATGTCCGATGTAATTGGAAGACGCTTATCTTGAGAGCCACCTTTGCAACGTTTGATTCCCTTTACCACACGCTGTAAACGCAGACAGCCCAATAAGGGATCAGGATAACCATGTTCAATATGGAGTCTTGATACTGATAATAAAATTTTACTGTGTTTGCTTTTTGTATTTTAAATTCCGTTTCAATATTATTGTGTATCATTTTCAATCAAATTTTCGCACTTGAAACACTTTTATACTGCGGAAATTTTATAGAAATTACCTAAAAAAAGAGCTTTGAAAATTCAAGTTTTGCACACTTCCATAGTATAGAAATTTTCCAGAAAAGGCGTGGAAATTTTCTAAAAAAAAATAAATAGAAAACCAAAGTATGGAAATTAATGGTTCAAATTTTCCTGTGACAATTTCTGTGTTTCATTTAGTTGGGCGAACAAAAGAAGCAACTTTCCCTGGCTCGATGTTAAACATAATGAGAGAAAGAGGGTAAGCCTTTTCTTGTCATCAGGAAACACTCTCCTCCGCAGAGGCAGGCTTGTCTTCGTTGAGATTTGCTATGCATGAAGAGAGAATTTAAGGATTTGAAAAAGGTGTATATATACTAATAAAAAAGGTTAACAACAAATCCGTTAAAGTAGCACTGTCATTAAAATTTTTATTGTCTCAAACGAAAGAACTCCTAAAACTGTAAAGTAACTTCTTTTGAAAAAATTGGTTCCCATGGTTTGTTTGAAACCATGTGACGTCATTCACTCAATTACATATATAATACATAGTTATATAATGGGATATTAGTAAATGTTGTGTATCTTTGCTATTTTTGACGGATTTGTTTAAAAAAACAGTATGCTTAATGATGTAGGTTAAATTAACAAACGCGCCGCATCCATACCAATAAATTGCGCATATAAGTAGGACATATGCAGTGATATACTCTAACGCGCATATCAAACATAGACAAGCATTTCAAATTTAGATCATGTTTAGGTCTGAATTGATATAAACATAGATATAAAGTCCAAATAATTAAATAAACGCATGGAGGGATATAATATATAATAAAATGCAAATACTGCTATATCAAGAAATGCGATACATCAGGCCAGATCTCCCACAGCGGTCTGTAGTGTTGGCCTTTGCGAGATTCCATATGCAACAACAAACGACGGTAGCATCCTTTTATTGACTCTGAAACTCAAGGAATATGCTGCGCAATCGTTTATCTTTGGTTTAGGCTTTATGATGTGCTAATTATACGTCCAGTGGAGCGAGAATTCTTTAAAACCAGGCAATATACGAACGACCAAATGCGCAGATAGCGCCTGTGTTTACACGCAGACTTGGTTGAAGAAATACGCATTTTGCCCCCAGATATTTAGGACGAAACAACAATAATTTAGTATCGAAATGCTCGTCACAGTGAAGCGATTCTGAAATTGCTCCTACTTTTGAGACTACGCATGCTCCGATTGGGATATGCCGCTTTTTCGTCTGACCGCGCACCTATTTCGCGTCACAAAGAGATTTATTCTATCGGATTACAAAGTTTCGAAACGATTTTGCCCCTAGCATATTATTCATTTTTCGGCAAATTTTGACGTTTATAGATAGAATTATGAACATATTTTATGTATCCGTTCCTACTTTTTAGAAAAGCAATAAAAATAATCTCTAATATACAGTTTTGTTCATAATTTTGGCGATTTTCAACCATTTATCGCTGAAATTTCTGGGGACTGGGAACGAGCTCTGGTTTAATAGGCAAATGTCCAAAATTTCTTGCCATGTTTGGAAAGATTTTGATAAAAAATAGCAAATTTTGAAAAAATGATACACAAGAATTACTGATATCTCATTTTTTATGTAATTGAGTAAATGACGTCACATGGTTACAAACAAAATGAAATATCTCAAGAACTAAGCATGGGAACAAAAATCTTCAGAAGAAGTTACTATACAGTTTTAAGAGCATTTTCGTTACGAAAACAACAATTTTAATGACAGTGCCACTTTAAAGACTCTGTACTCTGATAAAAGCAGGACGAGCGCCTGTGGAGGAGAGTGATCTGGATGATCTCTTATTGTGTGCATCTTCTTTGTAAATGTTCTAAGATTAACTGAAAGTTTATTTATCTATTTTTAGTTTTACGCGTCGTTTGATTATGCAGATCTAAAAGATGATAAACCAAAATATGAATGAGCTTTACATTGGATTTCCATCTTTAAAGTTGTTTCTCTGTTATACTTTTGTCAGTAAAATGAACATTTTCACTGAGCAAACTTCTGTAAAATTATTTTAAAGCTTATTTGAAGAAATAAACTTCAGCGATATTAACATTTCAGTGTACATAACTTCAATTGCTGTAAATGGAATCCTTTGGCTCACACCGTGAGGTTTTTGCGTATTATTGTGTGACTTACCGCAAAAATTCAAAATGATGTAACAATACTGGCACACATCTTTACAAGAACTTCATTGGTAGCATTCGGTTATAGAATTACGTAAGAATAAAGCTTTCATGTCGCGCATAACTATACTGTTGCTAAACTAGGCAACAGAAAATGCAGCAATATTAAAATGGCTGAGAGTAAAAGAAAGCTTACATGTAGTACTAGACTGAGTAAAGATATATAATGGTTACTTTCAAACATCGTTAATAATTCATAAGCTTATTGGGAAATCATATCAACCATAATATGTCACGTGCAGTGGCTTTAAACCTGATAAAACACTCCTAATTAGTATTCTTTATATAAAGAATACTAATAAGGCAGTATCTATTGTATAGTCGTGTCCTCATTGGTATTCTTTATATAAAGAATACTAATAAGACAGCATATCTATTGAATTTGTGGTCGTGTTTGAAGCCGTTTAATAAACTCGCCCACTCGCGCTGCGCGCTCGTGGCTTTAAACCTAATAAAAGACTCCTGATAAGAAATCCTAAATTTTAAGCCGTCAGCATCAATTTTGGTGATGCCTCCATATCTAAGATTCATTATCATGTTAAAGTCTACACTTCCTGTGAATTGGGTGCTTTCTTCACAAAGTGCATGATTTTTTTACTTTTCCGCTGGACTATATCAACTTTTCCAAATTTTAAGATGGCAAATTTCTAACCATGAAATATCATAAGTACTGTTTAATAAACGAGATTCTCTTATTAAACTCTATTACGGTTTAAAATTGTGAAATTGCAGGTTCACATATAGGAAAAATGACTTGCATGATTAGAAAGCTTACAAAAAACTACATTTAAGACTTTTAAACGGCTGATTGATTTTCCAAGCGGTTTTCCAGTTATTGCTATTTAAAAACGTGATAAATAGGCAAAAATCCCGCCAAAGTCCTGGACACTAGCCCTAAAACATATATTCAACCGCTCATAACTCCAGAGGAGTTGGAAAATCAAAGTAACTGCTTAAGTGTCTTATATGCAGTTTTTTGTAAGCTTTCTAATGACGCATGTCATTTTTGCTATATGTGAACCTGCAATTTCACAATTTTTAATTGTATAAGAGATTAATAAGAGAATATAAGAAATCCTAAATTTTAAGCCGTCCGCATCAATTTTGGTGATGCCTCCATATCTAAGATTCATTATCATGTTAAAGTCTACACTTCCTGTGAATTTGGTGCTTTCTTCACAAAGTGCATGATTTTCTCAAATATCTGTGCATATCCGCTGGACTAATATGGAAATTGAAATGGGTCATTCGCTATTTGATCTATTAAGTTTATGCGCTTGCATCCTTGGTTTTGGATTATATATTCATATTTTAATTTTATAAAAATATAAAACACGTTCATCGAATACAAATTTGAGATATAGCCTGGAACTGCGCATTGTTTATCTCCGCAATAACATTTTCTCATCTGAAGATTGATCTCTCTGTTGGTATAAGTTCATCTACAAAAACAGGGAAAACATGTTACTTGAAAGTATCTTTTTAAGATGACTGCCAACAACAACTGCAGGAATGAATCCCGATCGCTGGGAAGAAAAATAAAACTTACCTGAATGTTTTCTTGGTGATATAATTTGATCTTTAAGTTTCATCATGGGTGCACCACCACCAGGTCGTCCCCACACGTCGTTCATTGTCTTGATGTGCTAACAGTAAAGTATAAAATGTTAGCACGATATTCAGCATTGAAGAATCATATTGAGGATCCTCACTGCACACATATACCCCTCCCCCTCCCTCTAATTTCAATATAGGTATTTCTGATTTAGTAACACGAACATTTTTTACATCGAATTATCTAAGAAACGATTCTGCTGTAAAATATTGAAAACATCATTAACTTTATTTTGATAAAAAGTTAAAAACTTAATCAAACCATATTATAGGACATGGGCCAAACGTTTGTTGGATTAGTTGACAACTTTTTCGTTGATCTAAGTTAATATTTACAAAACCAGGCGCTATTCGCGAGACTCTGGCTGTATTAAACAACACTCTAAGATGTTGATTCATGAAACATTTGGTTTTTTGTCGAAAAATTGATTAAATGGTTTAGTCGTTTGCAGTTGTTATGATAGTTATCACAGTGCCGTAGCTAGCATGTATAGTTGGGGGGTAGGCCAAAAATTTCCGAATGACGAAGAAAATTTCCGAATATTTCATGCCCCCCGTCGCCAAAAAAATTTCGGTCAGTGTACCATTTTAAGGGTCAAAAATTTTTTCCGGACATACCAAAAGTCAATTATTAGCTATAAATTGCCTGAATCTCATGATTTTCGTACAAAAAGCATATACTATTATTGCCGTAATTTTCCGAATGGCCAACCCGATTTTCCGAATATGTTAATTCTACAAAAGTTGGGGGGGGGGGTTAGCCACCCCCCAATACCCCCCCCCCTCGCTACGGCCCTGCAGTTATCATTTTATGTTATGATGGTTAGGTATAAAAAGTGTATATATCCAATATAAGGTTTTGGAATACTTCAGTGAAACTCGGTTCATACCAGTTACTCTACATTGTTTTAAGGAAAACGTTACTAAAACGAAAAAAGTGAACTTACATCAAATGATAATTCTCGTTCTTTTGCCCTGTCTATTTGTCTTCTTCTATTCCTCTCATCGGCCATTTCTTGCAAATCGTCATAGTAACATTTGCTGTTGTCGTTTATTAACCGCCGAATTTGAAGTTTCTGTGCAATAAAACATAATTAATAAATGATGGAATAACGGCACTGGCTTAACTGTCCATTTAACTTGTGTTTAATCAAATCGTCTGAAGAATCAATAAACCGGTTGATTCAAATGTGTCTGAAACTCCCCAAACCGATTGAATAAATTTATTTTAAAAACTGACATGCATGCAACGCTTCGATACACTAGCAGGGGCGTAGGAAGCGGGGGGCACGGGGGGCACGTGCCCCCCCAATTTTTTTAAAGGACTAAAAGTGCCCTTTTTTGTGATAAAAAGTGCCCTTTTTGTGTTGAAAAGTGCCCTTTTTTGTGAGGAAAAGTGCCCCTTTTGTAGAAGCTAATGTCGCTGTAAATACTAAATTAATACAATCGGTGTCGTTTTTGTGTGGAAATTTACAATTTTTTTTTAAAAATTAGGTCACAAACATAAATTTCGGTATGATACGACGGAAAATTTTCCTCAGGAGAAATTTCTCTCTCCCCCCCCCGTCGACAACATTTCCGGGAAAAATTTTTTAGGTGCCCTTTCCGATAGTAATGTGCCCCTACAAGCCGGTGCCCCCCCCAAACTCCAGGTGCTTCCTACGCCCCTGTACACTAGTGAACTGATATACATGCAGACGGAGCCGTCGGAGGTTTCAGCATGTCGAAAGATTTAACCTAAAATACCTCGCGAGTGACATCAGATGTAGCTTTAGGGTTAGCTCTGATTTCCTTTGTTTGAGAGTCGTAGTTTGGTTGGCCAACTTTTCCTTGACGTAGCCAATTTACGACACCGACTCTGTCCTGTCCGAATTATGAAAAAAATAAACGGTGATTAAAATGCACCCAATTAGAAAGTTTTGGATGGAGTCAGCTGCCCATGCAATAGTCTGCGATAGCAGACTGATCTCAGCCGACCCATAATTTTCTTACAAATCCATGATCTAACTTACAGGTTTCATATAGTTGGTTCGTTCTTCTTCACGTAAAACCTCTAACTCCTGATGTTGTTGCTCTAATAGAAATAAACAAAACAGTGTTGTGAAGTTCACAGCATAATCAAACTTCACTATAATATTAGAAAACATCATCTTACATGAACTTGTGGTTAGAGCTCGACAACTGGCCTCTGTAGCTCAGTTGGTTAGAGCGCTGCACCGGAATCACAGGTTCGACTCCTGCCAGTGACCTATAGTTGCATGTATTTTTCGCAGCTGTTCCTGATTAGGTCTAATAAATGTATATAAATTTCCACTCGATAATTTCCATCTACAAGACCCTTCAACCATCTTAGATATACACATGAGATGTCCAAAACAATTTCAATAGCAGGACCGCAGATCGCATTGTACTACAATGGAGTGCTAGTTTGGAATAATTATTGTAACGCGTTGCTTTACATGAAGCGAAATCCTCATTACCTAAACTCTTCAGATACTCCTTCTTTCTTACTGGATCTCTTTTCAACTGCGCTGAACTTCCCTGTAGAAAACAAATATTAAACAAATGGAGAGAACTGTTGTTATACCATGTTTCCGTTATTTGCTTGCATGTGGTGTAATAGTGTATTGCTTTTTGCGATAAGTAGAAGAATGATTTGTATAGAAACGAAAAAGACAAGATGTGTCCAGATTGTTTTCACAGCCATGACCAAATAGAATTCAGGCTGTACAGAGCGTTACTCAATTTTTACTTGAGCGTTATTCAAATTTGTCACAATTCTAGGATGACAAAAGAAGAGATCGAAACAACAATACTAAATTCAGGTGTAAAAGGAAAAAGTTCGTGCAAGGGAACAAGGCTATTGTCCGATCACCGGACCTGTATTATCAAGGTTCCAGGCAAAGAAAAGTTTCCTAGGCTACGGTACACTGTGTAGTATGGGGGACTAAATCCAATCGAATTTGGGAAATCTGAATACACCAGCCTACCATGTTATCGTTGGCTAACTTTCCAGTTGTATTCGTCATTACATTTCCTTGTTTGTCTTTTAACGGAGCTCCAGCACCGGGTCTGCCCCAGGGATTGTATGGGCTCCCTTTAGGACTAACTTCATGAATATAAGTTTCTAGTAAAGACAAGTTCGAGAAGTTTTATATGACAGGGTAATTTAAATAAATAAGCAAACGAACAAACATTCATCTATAGATGAAAAGGGACTGTTAGCAAAAGAATACTAAGACCCAAGGCCAAGTTGTTTAGACAAAAATTAGTAGGGCTACCTAGAGACACATGCGGATCGACCCGGAGCAAAACATAATTTCGGGCCCTCGTGATTTTCATCCTACATAGTAGGCTAGGGGATCTGGTTATTCTGTGTGCATTCTTCCCTGGGAAAAGTTTGAATTCTGAGGTCCCAGGAACTAGCAAAACCTTGCACTCTGGGAGACTAGTTGACAAATTGCCCTTTTGTTCTCATTATCACAACATTGTCACAACATGATTGTAACATTGTTTCAACATATTGTTTACATGCATCATTATATATATTTTAAATACAACATATTAATTAATTAATTAATTAATTAATTAATTAATTAATTAACAACATTGCAAATGTTTTGGGCATCTACAGTGTCGCAGTTTTAATTAAGCATGCCTATACGTGATTTTCAAAGTAGAGTAATGCTCGACTTGATCGTTGTATATTTGTATAATTGTTCTTTTACAATACGATAATCATCGGCAATAATCTTTCAGTTATATATAAATACGTAGAAAATTGTGGGCGATTTCGGTGAAAAGCCAGCAAATGCAGGATAGTTTAACATACTTACGTCCACAAGTGTTCTTCGCTAGCGTTGTTTTCTTTCTTGGATTAACATTCTCCTTTTGCAGGGATACACCATCAGTACTATCCCAAGAATGTTCGTTCTGTTACATGAAACAAAAATTAGATTTGGTGAACTTTATCATTATTTTAGGAGGCATGATTATAGGACTACAAGACATCTATTTTCATTGACCTTGAATTTATCATTTAGATGTTGTCGATTTCTCATAATCTTTCCATTTTCTTTTCGCTCAGGTACTCCACCATATCCTTTACCCCATGGGTCATACGTCCCTTCCTGTAAGACATGCAAAGAGTATATGTCATCGACAGTTATCTTCAGTACTGCTTTTGCCCCCAACAGGTTGCCACTACAGCTTGTTTCATTCAAAAGGAATCATCAGGCGGCTCCTGGATGGAACAGGCTGTAGTGGCAACCTTTTGGAGGAAAACTCTACTATTTACTTTTATCTGTATGATATAATATTAAAATACTCATTAAAAATTCATAAACCTTGTGGCGAATCATGTCAGCCATAACATGTCACATGGAGTGACTTTATATCTGATAAAACTCATCTTCATTAGTATTCTTTATATAATTATTCATCCTAATTAGTATGATTATATAATTGTTCATCCTAATTCGCATTCTTTTGTAGTCGTATTTTAAGCTATTCAAAACACTCGAACTCGCGTTTTATCATATCTAAAACGCTCGGCTGCACCTCGCGTTTTATTAAATATGATAAAACACTCCTTCTCGTGTTTTAAATACTACATAACACTTTATTTAACGAGGATTAACAGATAAAGCTACCGCTTGTTTCCAATCTGGTCCTCTAAAATCACATTAATACATTATTTACATGCAGACATTACGGACATTAACTGACATACATCACAATCACACAAAATTGAAACTATACCTATCGACAAATATATCTAGAATTAATTAAAAAATATAAAAGTTCCTAATATAATCTTTGAATGTTTAGTTCAGTTGACCTAGCTAATTTGATCTGATAGTGTTCTTTACAGAACCTTTTAAAGGCTATACGTGAGGTGAGTTTCTTTGCCACGTTTTGAAATTTGTTCCACAAGGAAGGAGCCAGGTACGAAAACCTTCGTTTACCCGCGTTGATTCTGGTTTTGGGAAGACACAAGTTGTTGTTTTGTTATATAGTGTCCTTGTAGAGTAGTGGTGTTTCGGCTTTTCTAAGAGCGTGTTGAAACAAGGTGGATTGATTTCGTGTAAGCAGTTGAAGGTTTTTAAATGGATGTGTTGACGGATGATATCGTCTATGGGAATGATGTTAAGTTGTTTGAATAGGCTTAGGCAGTTAGGGATGGAGTGGTGAAGTCTGCGTTCAAAATAATCCTATATGCTCATATCGAGCATTATTCATCATTTTGTGAACCAAAACACACTTCTATTATATGTCTTCTACCATATGTCTTCTTCAAGATAATTCACATTATTGGCGTATACGGAGCTTATATCGTTTTTTGGGAACAACAAGAATATTTCTGTATCCTTTTAAGTCTTTAACTTACATTTGTTAACGATGCTGGTTGTGTTGCATCTGCAAAAACGCAAAATAATGAATGAGCGCATGGCATTTGTACGAGTATTAAACTTTCTCTCACTATATAACGATCTGAGTCCGATTGTATAAAATCACCCGTGCCACATTATCTAAATAGGTAACAGCCAGGATTTCTAAATTGAGAAATACAGGCGATACCCAATAAGGATGATAATGTGAGCCATCCAAACCAACACAAAACCACAAGCCTTAAATTAAAAAAAATTTGTCAGGCTCAGATTAAGATTAGGGTCAGATTAAGGTTAGATTATGATCAGATTAAGATTAGATTAGGGTTAGAGGTTAGAATCGGGGTTAGACTAGGGTTCAAATTAAGGCACTAATGGCCGGCTCAAATGATTATCCTTTTTGGGTATCGCAACGTATTTCGATTCTCAATTTAGAAATCCTGGTTGTTACCCATCGAGATAATGTGACTTATAAAGCCAACTATGATTAACTTTCAAAAACCACGGCCAGCCGACAATTTAAGAAAATACAAAAAGAAACAAATTTCGAAAAATAAGGTCATCTTGAAATTCAAGATATGAATTAAAACAAGACGACATACACTCGTCATATCTTGAATTATTTCATATCTTGAATTTCAAGATGACCTTATTTTTCGGAATCTGTTTCTTTTTGTATGATTAACTTTAACTACCGTTTAAAATAGTAGACGTTAAATCCTTAATTATGTGATTAAGACCTACAAAACGGGTAATAAATAAAAAGTAGTTAAGAGTCTTATACAATCAGCTTCCGATAAAAATTAACAAAAGTACCTTTTCTTTTGATCTGGTTGACTTCACGGTTGCCAAAAGGATTAGTTTCAATCTATATATTAATGAGATTATATATAGGGTTAACAAGACCTGACTTTAAGGTATATTTCCCTTATTAAATTCGTTTCTAGAGTATTATGTATGTAAAATGTGGTCTGAAAACTTTACATGCATGGAGAGTTTACCAATCAAAAATCGTAAAAAAAGTAATACATGTATGAAGTCTATTTTCAACGCTTTTTTACCATTTTGATATCTTCTTCCTTTTCTTTCTTTTTCTCCAGAATTCTTCTGTTTGTTGATTCGTTGACTTGAGCATCTGAGGAAAAAAATTTGCATTGCTACTGCTGTAACACCAGACCATTAAGTGTCTTATTCCTATATGCATTTCAAAATACTTTTATGACTTCTGTTGCGGAGTTATATGATGCACCATGCATGCAGGCGTCTTATTCATGTATAATTTGCAATATTACCACTATAGAACATACCTAGTTCTTTGCCATAGGAATAATTTGGTTTGTATCGCTATAGAAATAAAACGACATGTTAGTTAATAGCGATCGCATGTTGCCCTTACTTTTTATTCTAACATGCTAGAATGGGATTGAATAATCCGGTGCATGCATGAGTTAATAGGCTGTATATAATGTTGCACTCGTATACCAGTCGTGGATCAGGATCTGTGTTGTATTGAGCAGCTTGAAATCTTAATTCAGGATTCATTTTTAATGATGTAACAACAGTTCCGGACGTAGTTCTGTTTGGAGAGCCTCCTCCACCGACACCAGCTGGCTTGCCATTCTGAAGAGAACAACATAAAATTAACTTATAGTTAAGTATATAAAATTCTAAAACTATAATTCTAAACTATGTTCTCCATGTAGTCGGAGGTACAAGCGGAATATTTTTTCATTAATATTTCTGCCTACAATATTCAATAGTTCTACCTTCAACTTTCCTGCAAACTAAAAATATTCATATATCCTTACCAGAAATATACATATTCAAACAAGTTTAATAAAACCTACTATTCGATATTCTGAATATTCAGTATTCCACTCCACCCTGATCCTACAGTACTGGGTTATTAATGTACAGTACGAGTACCCGGAGAAAAGCCTTAGTGTTTGATAGAATCGGACTGAAAGCACTCTTCTCTCACTTTCAGACTTAATTTTACCATAAAAACGTAAAATATTTATTAAAATATTTTACACATCAAGATACTTACTTCCTGTTTCAATTTTCGAACATGTTTCGTCACGTTAGCGTCCACTTCATCGTTCCTATAACCCTGGATATAGAAAGATGCTTCTTTAATATGCACTAGAATAATGCAACTATAATATTGTAATACAATGGGTGTCCAAAACGTTCCAAGTTATCTTCAAGATCAATTTTAGTAAGTCTTGCAAATCCATCGTACGTACGAGTACGACTTGCTAAATAGGAATAACGTACAAGATAGTGGTACACTTACTCTAGGAGCTCCGCCTCCAGGTTTTCCCCAAGGGTTGTAACTCTTCAGCATTTCAAAATCCTTTTAAGAAAGTTAGTATTTTAGTTACGAAAAGTAGGGACGGACCGGACAGTGTATTACTCCAAAAATAAAAATAAAAAAAAACTCAAACAATTCCGGAATTTGCCAGTATTTGCAAAGTCCCTAAAATCTCAAAATCTGAAAAATTCTGCAAAAGTACTGAAAAATCCCTTCTAGAAAATGACTAAAAATCTCACAATCCCTTGCAACCCTTAAAATTTTCCACAACATGATTTCACATGTTTTGAACTAATGTCGCAAGTCTTTTCACATGTGAACATATACAGTAGCTGTTCCAAACTTCCAATTAATTCTAAACTTCGCAAAACCACTTTCATGCAAAATCAAAAACGTCTATAGTCGAAGTCCCAAAATCGACCAATAAATTACCTTAAAACTTGAAACGTTTGCAAAAAATACACCCCTCAGAGGAAACCAGCATGCCCCTTTTTCTTTCACAGTATATAAGCAGTATTGATGTAAAGTATTAGGGCGCTGCTGCTAGTATTAGGACGCTGAATTACTCATTTACCACTGAGAGGGAATTAGAGATAATCACCGGCATTTGTCATTTGAAAGAATCAGTCCATTTTAATTACCACTCAAATGGGCATAAAATCATCAAGCGCATGACTATTGAATTTCCGCATGCTATCCCAACTGATCCACCGGCCACCTTTTCCCACCGATTTTAATGTGTTTATTTTTCTCAGAATTAAGTAAACGAAAATTACTAATATTACTTTAATTGTTTGGATAATTGCCTGATAAAAACAACAAAATCTCTTATAGAACTACATAAGTTAAACCATGGATAATAAAATAAATTTATTTTATCATCCATGGTTAAACTAACCACAATTACTCAAAAAATGTAGCAAAACAATGTTCTACCTTCTTTTTCTCATTTGCTACTTGCGACTGTTGCTGTGTCCTTCGCTCGTAATGTTTGCTTAAATAGTTATCTGAACAAAATACATGAAACAAGAGGTTATATTTGAGTTTCTTTATTATGCTTTAATTAATTTAACTTTTAGGGCACTTTCCATGTCAGACCAAAAATTCTGGAAAATTGACCAAAAGGGTCATGATTTTATATTTGTAACCTATGCATACCTTCTTCAACAGCAAGTTTACGATGCCGAACTCGTTGTCCATCTCTATATGATAGGGAATATGTCAAATTAATATGTATATAGATCTGAAAATGCTGTGCCTGAGGACTTGAATGATCTGGTTTCTTGCACTTCACTTGGTGGTATTAATATTTGAATGCTGTTCTTAGGGTTTGTAATCCAAGTGAGTACCACGTCATTTATTATAAACGCAGCTGGAACTGGCGACGGCCTGTCTTGTTAGTTGTTATCGTCGCTACCTACACTGAAACCGACTGTTTGAGATTATATCGCAGGAACATAATCCTTGTAGGTTTAGGCTTTAGCTATGTTCCTTGAAGGTACTCAACGTACTCAAGATATCTTTTCTTATTTCCATGTAATTCAAATTACCACGCACGACACACCACACCGTCAATCAAAAACGTCCTAATAACTAACGGCTTTACGTATAACTAAAGCCTGGTTCACACTAGCAATTTTGTCGGCGATTTTGTGTTTCTGACGGATGCAAATGAGTGAACGCGCACACAAAAGTACAGAGTCGCTTTTTAGAAGTAAACAATTCTAAGTCTTTTGCATGTCATGCATTCGATCACATTAGCCAGGAGGAGAGAAATCACCGACAGAATTCAGTTCTGCAGGGGTGAATAAGGTTTAAGTATAAGACTTACGTGAGGTCACCCAGCAGCAAATTATGATTAAGACGCCTCCCGGGATTTTTATTTTCAAATCTTCTCACAGCACTTGATCCGTACAAAAATCCGTTATCTTCGTTTTCCTTTCTTCGTCGTTGCGTTAAATTTTTCGCAAAATGTTCTGCGCCATAAATCATTGTGTTGGTTTTTGATCCTCCAGGAATCTGTGGACAAAATATTTCCGAGAATTAGAAAATTCAGGTAAAATGTTTGACTGTTAATTCGCAATGGAAAACTGATACTACGTAAACGTTTGAACTAAAATTTCAGGTTCAATTTAATGAAGATCGAATTCAGTGGCATTCTGTAAAATAGGTAGACAGTGGATTCGATCAGTGATGGTAATAAGCTAACTACAGGTTCTGTATGTTACAATTAACCTACTGACATTTTAGTATTATAAAGTTAAATTTCTGTTCCCGGCTTTGCATTGAAGATTAAAATTTCCAGGCCAAAAATTATAAGAAATGAGGCAATCCCGCTCACCACCCAAGAAAATCTCTTCCCGTCCTCTGTAATTTTCTATCCATGCATGCAGAAGAGAACCAGGCATTGGTGAAATTTTCCCTACCTTTCCTCTTGTAAAGTGTTGTGTTTTACGATGATCCATTTTATTGTTCTCACTGATGACATCATTCTTTACCCCGGCATCAGTCTCAAAAGCTTTGCTATGGTGGCTCATGACATTATAGCGTTGTCCAGCTAAGTTGTCTGTAGCAGCTGATCTGTATACTGCAATGTCGTTCTTCGGAGGATCTCTTGGATATGCTGGAGTAAAATATCATGAAATATCGCATGAGCATAACATTTTACGCTCGTTTGAGCTGTACACATTACACGAATACAATTGCACAATTCCTACTAGAGATACATCATCTCACATCCGTATCACAGATCGTCTTACTGAACACACAAGCGGAGGTTGCCTCGTGTAGCATGGCCCTTATTGTTCAAAGATTTCGATTTTATATATAGTTTGTCATATTTGTTAACCAGGTCCCACAGTAATTGGTTTATACTGTTGTGGTGACCCCGCCATTCGTTGTTAGATTCAGTGATGTAAGCTACTAACCCTTTGGGGGATTACCAAGGTGTTTGACCAAGGCACATATTGCCACACAAAATGGGGTATCGCATGCATTTCCATGTGACAGAGAGACTAAAGTTAAACAAGAAAATGCTTATACAAGTAACTAATTGGATTATTCTATAATCTATCAATCGTGAAAACCAATTTTTTATAAGACTTGATGTTTCTACATGCATATATACACTGCCTTAGGAAAAGGATCTCTGATCAATAGTTTGGATGAACAAGCACCTAAATGGCAAATATGTGAAACTTCAAAGGGATTGACAGTACTAGAGGAAGATTGGATTTGCTCAAGGACACACTCTCTGAATACTGGTTACTTATTTTGTGGGGAAAGGAAGTTTTGGTTGAAAGTCGATGGGAGGTGGGGGAGTGACAACTTACTGTCACATATTATCACTAGGGGGAGGAGATATTCACCGTCAATTATTTTCATCAGATAATGTCATGTTTGTGTGCACGTTTGTGCTGACAAAGATTAATAAATAGAAACAAGACGGGCTATCAAGGCAAACTATAGCTAGAGAGATTATTGGCAAAATCCCGAAACTTCCAGTACATGCAAGACATCCGAAAGATTACTCGAAATAATAGACGAACATGATTTAACCCAACTAGTCCAAGAACCCACAAGACGACAAGGGGAAATACAAAATATTTTAGACCTTGTATTGTCTAACAACAAAAACCTTGTGCGCAATGTAACAATTATACCTGGAATAAGTGATCACGACATGGTACTTTTCAGGGTGCGACCGTCTTGCAAAAAGAAACGGAATGTGAAACGTAAGATCTATTGTAGAAAACGAGCTAATTGTATCCGTATAAAAGAAGAGCTGAAAGAACTTTCTAATGATCTCATACAAAATACCAAACACGAAATTGTTGACAGGAAATGGGATAAGTTTGAATATAGTGTACGTCGCATTATGGATACCCACATCCCACATAAGATGACTACCTCCCGGCATAACCTACCTTGGTTTAATCGCACATTAAGACGCGAAGGAAGAGCAAAACAAAGATTATACAACAGAGCCAAGAAGTCTGGAAATCCAACACATTGGCACCAGTTTCGTGCTGCTAGGAAAAGGTTACACCAGAACTTGAAAACTGCCAGAGATATCTATGTGTCAGAGTACCTTGGCGACGCGATTGAAGAAAACCCAAAGCGTTTTTGGTCTTATGTGAAGCAACTAAAGCAGGATAACCTGGGAGTAGCAGATTTGGAAATTGATGGAAAATTAATTAGTGATGGACAAACTAAGTCTGAAATCCTTAATAAGCAGTTTTCTTCTGTTTTCACTGACGAAAATCTTGCAAATATACCAGCAGTACGTGATAATCCTAAACCAGCAATAAGACCTATCAGTATTTCCATCTCCGGTGTCACTAAGCAGTTACTGTCATTGAAAACAAACAAAGCTTGTGGACCTGACTCTATCCCATCCTGGTTCCTAAAAGAATATGCCCAAGACATTTCACCCAAGTTAACTAATATTTATCAATGCTCCATAGACACAGGAATCGTGCCTTCTAAGTGGAAAAATGCAAATATATGTGGGATCTTCAAAACAGGGAAAAAATCAGATCCGGTTAATTATAGACCTATTTCTCTGACTTGTATTGCCTCTAAGATATTGGAACATATAATTCACAGTCATGTTATGAAATACTTGCAACAAAACAACGTGCTAACGGACTGCCAACATGGATTTAGGGCAAAAAAATCAACCGAAACCCAACTTATTGTAACTATACATGATCTGGCGAATACAATTCAACGTGGTGAGTCAACACATGTTGCAGTCTTGGACTTTTCGAAAGCTTTTGACAAGGTACCCCATCAACGACTTTTGAGGAAACTGTATTATTATGGAATTTCTGGAGAGTTACTTGATTGGTTCGAGTCTTTTCTTTCACAACGTTATCAGTCTGTTGTCTGTGAAGGCAAAACATCTACCCCCCTACTTGTGACGTCAGGAGTTCCCCAAGGGACAGTGCTTGGCCCGCTCCTATTTTTATTGTACATTAATGACTTGTCGGACAACTTGCAGTCAACTGTGAAACTTTTTGCTGATGATGCCTTATTATATGGTGTCATTACGAGTGATTCAGATTGTGACCGCCTACAGGATGATCTACATAAGCTAGAACAGTGGCAAAATCTATGGCAGATGGAATTCAACCCCTCAAAATGCAAAATCTTATGCATTTCCAATAAAAAGCATCCTCCCCAAAAGCGGTATTTGTTTTGTGGAGTAGAGCTAGATCAAGTGGAAGAAATATCTTACTTGGGCATTACTTTCACTAGTAAATTAAAATGGAATCACCATGTCTCTTCGGTGGCAAGTAAAGCAACGAAAGTTCTTGGTGTGATGCGACGTAATCTGTGGAATTGCCCCACGAAAGTGAGAGAAACAGCATACAAATCCATTGTACGACCCAAGCTAGAATATGCATCAACAGCCTGTGATCCTTACACTAACAAGGACAAAGTGGCTTTGGAAAGAGTGCAGAGAAAAGCAGCGCGTTTCTGTTCCAAGAACTACAATCCTATGTCAAGTGTCACTGATATGATTGAAGATCTAAATTGGGAAAGTTTAGAAGTTAGAAGAAAGAAAGCTAGATTGACATCGTTGTACAAACTCTCTCGGAATCTTGTAGACGTTGAAACAAATAATTACTTGCTGGTAAATAATGAGACCAGGACTCGTGGCAGTCATAGCTATAAATATAGAGTCCCAAAAACTACCAAAGATGTTTTTAAATTTTCCTTTTTTCCTCGCACGATTAGGGAATGGAATTTACTTCCCGAAGAAATTGTGAGCTCAGAGGACCTCCTCCAGTTTAGAAACAATTTAAGCAATTCTTTTTAATAACTTTTTAATAATAGTAAATATTGTTGTAAATATAGATTTTTAGAATAGGTATAGTTATAAATAGTTGGTGTGATATTCGAAAGGATTTTACCGACTTAATAAATATAGATGTAGATAGATGTAGATGTAGATTAATATTAGTGCCGCAATAGGCTAGTCTGGCTACTGCATGGACCTACATGGCTGATGTAGAAATATCATCATTTTGCGCGATGCATGACCTATCTGTGGCTACCTTCCCATGCATGCACTGCATAGCGTTTTCATATTGTTTCAGCGTTTTTGTCAACAGGACAGTTGTTCTCTCCTGATTCCCTTGTGAACGGAGAACATTACGCCAAGTTTTCTGTAGTTTCTATACTAACTGTAGACTCAAATGTGTGAAGGAGTAGAACGCGGTTCTGAAAGGCTGTGAATCACCTGGGGCAGGTTGTATAAAACTCTTAATCACTTTTTTAATCAATATTTTGTAGTTAAATAGTGATTAACTCTCAAATACGCGCTTCTTATTGGATGACGTTTGCACTTAATTATAGTTAACTTTAATCACTTTTTTATACAACCGGCCCCAGAAAGCAATGTAACAGCAAATGCCTGCTGCATGTCGTTCTCAAATCCCATCTGATGTATATCCCAGTAATATATTTTTCTCATGTCGTATCCCGCGATTTCTCAAAATCATCTTTCTTCCGTTTATCTTGTTTCCCCTTATACACGCATTATTCCGCAAATACGCAGATTTGGGGCATCTCACTCGATATAGAACTATCTCACTCGATATAGAACTAATTGTTGAAGGGTTTTTGTAGATGGAAATTTCAAGTGTGAATTTTATACATTTACATAAATAGAGGTGGAATATTACATATACACCAGCTAACACGAGCCCGGATTAAACCACAAGAAGTACAAGATAACCGCTTTACTCGTTTTACAACGAAACGACACAAGCCAGCACTGTCGTTGCTCAGTGCGCAGTATAGCCATATATTGTCATTAAATATCTCATACCTATTACTATACTGATGGGATCACATACATGTTTAAATTGCGATTACATTTACGAGAGACTAGTCACAGGACGAATCCGGAATCCTACGGAAAATCATCCAGTCATGTTCACATTGGAATTCGCCTATATGATTTAGTAGCCGAATTTCAGATTCAGACAGGAAGCTCGTCCTAGACGGGAAATTATTAGCGAACTTAAGATGAACTAAATCTAGTACGCGGACGTGACAAAAAGACAGTTACTTACGCTTTTCCTTTGGATTTGTCACCAGTTTAAATTTGTTTTTCACCTGTATCCTTCCTTGTTGACAAAAACAATCCATATTTTTTACCCATGTTGCTGACACTGCGAATTTAGAGTGTGTTTTTGTCACGTCCGCGTACTAGATTACGGGAAACTTGTCTAAGACGGGAAACTTGTCTAAGACGGGAAACTTATCTAAGACGAGAAACTTGTTTAAGACGGGAAACTTGTCTAAGACGGGAAACTTGTCTAAGACGGGAAACTTATCTAAGACGGGAAACTTGTCTATAAGACGGGAAACTTGTCTAAGACGGGAAACTTGTCTAAGACGGGAAACTTGTCTAAGACGGGAAACTCGCGCGCGCATGTCTAAGACGGGAAACTTGTCTAATGTAAACCTGGCAACAGACGAGTTTTCCGTCTCAACCGTTTCATCTAACTTTTCCGTCCAAATAGATGGTTTGACGGTTAAGGCTAACTTCCACTCAGGAAAATTATCCGTGGATTGGAACGGACAAAAAAAAGTTTTCTTTGTCTTGTGAGCTCTGGGTTGGAACTAATGACTTTAACACAAAGAAACATTTTTTTGTCCTTTCCAATCCACGGATAATTTTCCTGAGTGGAAATTAGCCTTTAAGCCCGCCGCACACGAGCGCACTTGTCGCGCGTACTTGTTATTCATGACAAGTTGGATCGACAAAATTTCCTCGTGTGCGGGCAACATTTACGACATTTTCGTCATTCGTGACATGTAAACCAAATATCAAACATGTTTGATATTTTTCGTCATTCGTGACAAAAAAATTCTCGTGTGCGGCGAGCAAACGACAAGCGCGCCTGAATAGGAAAATTTGCGCATGCGTGCAACTTGCAGAATTAAAAACAACATGGCGGATCAAAATCACGAGCTCGGGTCTTGTTTTTAATTCCGCGAGTTGAACGCATGCGCAAATTTTCCTATTCAGGCGCGCTTGTCGTTTGCTCGCCGCACACAAAATTTTTTTTGTCACGAATGTCGAAAAATATCAAACATGTTTGATATTTGGTTTACATGTCACGAATGACGAAAATGCCGTAAATGTTGCCCGCACATGAGGAAATTTTGTCGATCCAACTTGTCACGAATAACAAGTACGCGCGACAAGTGCACTCGTGTGCGGCGGGCGACGCGGCGTGCAGTCCGTCCAAACAAACACAAGTTTTAGGGAATCTCGTCTAGACGTGGAACGCATTCAGTCGGATACATAAATGAGACGTATAAAGCATTAAAGTGTTGCCAAGCAAGGGAAAACTGGAAATAGAATTATCGAGATAAACATATAAAAATAATATATTATACAAGGTGAAAGATGGAATGTTCCATCCAACTCTTTACAGCAAAATTTCCGATACCGAACCAAAAGAGCCAAGTTGCTCCATTGAGAAGATTATTCCACAAACAAAGTGTGAAAATAGCATTACATTTTTACAATCTTTGAAAGGATTTAGAGTTGGGCATTTAAACATCGCTTCGTTAGTCAAGCATGTTGATGAATTAAAAATATACTTGGAAAAAGAGCCACTCGATGTTTTGAGCATTAACGAAACTCGTTTGGATGAAACAATTAGTACAGATACTGTTAGTATACCCGGTTACGATATGGTTGCCAAAAATCGTAATCGGCAAGGAGGCGGTGTTGCAATTTACCATCGCAGTATTTTGAACGTAATTGATAGAGATGATTTAGTCCCAGAGGACGTCGAGGCTGTTTGCCTCGAAATTATTAAGCCTAAATCTAAACCTGTCTTAGTTGCATCTGCATATAGGCCACCGAATTCGCAAATTGAATTCCTTGATAAAATTGAAGTATTACTGATTTCAAAACCTTGACAACGAACTCATAAAGAACTAATTATCGTTGGCGATTTAAATTGTGATTTTTTATCCAACAATTTAAGCAATCACACTAAGCGTTTTAATGATATAGTTAATATATTCCAGCTGACACAGTTGATTGACCAGCCTACACGAATTACCGAAAAAACAGCTTCTCTTTTGGATGTCGCTCTTGTAAACAATCCTGAAAAGATTTCGCACTCAGGAGTATTGCATGTTGGAATAAGTGACCATAGCTTGATCTACGTTTGTAGAAAAATTTCGTTTGTAAAAAATGATCCCAAATTTGTTGAGTCAAGAAATTTTAAAAACTACAAGACAAAAATTAGACAAAAATTTCATTACAGCTTGAAAGAGTATCACAAAATTAGTAATATTCCGAAGTTTCGTTGCGAAATGTTGTAAAATGCGGCCAATATAGCCTTGCGAAGTTTGCCGTTTTTCAGTCATTTTGCATTACAAACGGGAAATTGATAATCAGTTTTATCATCTGATTATTAATTTTCTCCTTTGTAATCAAAATGACTGAAAAACGGCAAACTTCGCAAGGCTATATTATCCGCATTTTACAACATTTTGCAACGAAACTTCGGAATATTACTAATTTTGCGATGCTCTTTCAAGCTGACTAGAAATCCAGACTAGTCTAGATCAAAATCTCACTTAAAAGGGGAAAGGTCTATTGCACTCGCAAGAGTGCAATGGAACGTATTCTATTGCACTCTTGGGAAATGGAATTTTCTATTCAATATCACGTGACCATTAAACGATCAGAATTCAATAAGGTATTATATAAAAATCTACAGTATATATATAAAATTTCAGACGGATTTCTTTCCACAAATTTATATTCTGACGGGATATCGTAGACGAGTTTCCCGTATCGAATATGAATTCGGTTAAACAATTTCACGCGTCCTGTGTGAAGTAGAAAGGCAAAATCGTGCAAATTCACCCAGTTCAGGACTTCAGCCTACAAAACATTTCTTAGAAAATCGTTTCAGCCCGAAACTAGTAGCCTGAGTGTCAGACGAATGAGCTAGAAACTAGTAAAATCTTCCGGACTCTTCCCTCAACTTAAATTAAGTAATACTTGAAATACATGTGTTACTTCAACATACTGTATGCAGCTCTGTTATTTTGTGATGTTACTGGTGTTGGCGGAACTTGCTTCAGTATTAAATCCATTGATATCCAACTAACTTGTACCTGACTCTTGTCTACAAGTGCGGCGAGTGCGTTCATCTCATGTGCGTAAACATATATACGACTTGGACTTACTTGGACTTGGTAGGCTACTAAGCAACGCTACTTATCTAATCACAACTACTGTGATACGAACATCATTGAAAGATTGCATGATTACAACTTTCCTAAGATTCACAGTTTATTTGCTCAAGTATATACTTTAAATGCCCTGGCAAATCTGGGCTCTTTGATAGCTGTAAAACCGAAGTGATGCATTATATACTGTATATGTATAACAGTAATAACACATATTACTGATTAGTATAATTAAAGATTTCGGCCATTAAAAATTTAAAGCATTTGGCAGAAGAGTGCAACACAGTCGCACGTATTTGTCAGCAGGTATTGATACGAACAAGCAGCTACTTCTGTCTGTAGACTAAGTTAATCTACTGTTAACATAATGTTTGCTACGACGCTTTGTTAGACATTTGTGATAATTTATAAACAAACAGAGTCCTGAGCCCTACTAATGCTTAGACTAAGGTCTACTAAATCCTCCAGTTCTCACATTAAATAATGTAAGCTTACCTGTGCCACTGGGAGAATTTTCAAACGCTGATTCGGTCATTGTTTGGGTGAACCATGTATTAGATAAAAAGTATAAAAGCTGCCTTCACTTACTGATTAAAGCACCATTAAAATGGTTCGACAGAAGTCATTACCATGACAACGGCTCATATTTCACGTAATTTCGAAATGGCTATTTCGTGGTGAAACGTTACTAAATTTTCATAGTATTTTAGAAGATATCGTGCATTGTGATAATTTTAACACTATCCTTTACTTTGTAATATATATACACATGGATCTGGGTTTCATATGCTAACAATCAGTTATGCAAGCGCCAAGCAGTTCAAGTTCAACATAGCTCATTGAGATGCAGAAGTCTACAAAAATCTAGCATGTACAAAATTAAAAATACCATTAAACATAAATGACCTCGAAAATTGCATACAGCTTTGTTTAGGAACGAATTTTTAATATAGGTCTGCTGAGGCTCGGCGCATCCCAATCCATATGCAAAATCCTCATTTAGAGGGGGGTATTCAATACCGTAATACCGCAAGCAAATTTTGTCAATAACCGCAATTTTTAGTCCAAAATTGCAAATACCGTGTACCGCAAGATTTCCAATATTGTAATACCGCAATATTTCAAGGAAACTACCGAAATACCGTAAGAAAAATAAGCTAATACCGCCATACCGTAAATCCCAATGTCCCCCCCTCATTTACGCATCGAATATCACAAAATAGAAGTTGGGATATATAAGAAAATTTGCATGCATATATAAATTGTATTTAGCTAACTGTTAATCCATGCATCAATTTAACCCTTTAAAAGCATTTACCTTGGAAATGCGTTGGTCAGTATGACTATCTATAACTAATAAGAGTATTTTTATTAATGGAGCCGGATTGGGTGACTCTTCCATGATTAGTTCATTAATTTCGATTAACTGAGTTTACTATCATGCAGCCCGGCCTATCAAAAACAGAACTGAAAAATCGTGGTGCATTGTCGAGGTCGTGTCCGTGAATGTGCATCCAAAAGAGACTACGTACGAAAGAAAATGTTCGTGTTGCACGGTGTCAAATTAAAAGTTTAGGGTCAGGATTTTAGGGTGAATTTTACACTAGCGTAAATGCGCATGATCAACATGACATGTAACCATAGTTTCTTGTATTGAAACGATCAGCAAGTAGATTGGTTGCACATTATATGCCATGGCCATGTTGGTCGGGTATTTGAACAAAAGAACCTCAAACGAACTTCATTATCTTTCATTAAATTTGGCACCAACATGGCTGCCGTTTTATTGTCTTTTAATTTCCAAGACAAATATTTTACAAGACTCCTCCGTTTGTAAATGTATAAGTGCTCTTCATTTGGCTCATCAAGGGATTTATAAAAGCATATGCCAATCTGGGTTTCGATTCTTTTTTTTGTATCAAGTGCATGATTGACTATTTTACTACAAACTGTACCTGTTTCATAGAAGACGTTAAACACTGGATCCGCAGACCTTCCACTGACAGGAACATATTGCAATGGTTGATGTCGCACGTATTTAAAAATTGGTTTTAACCATTCCTTCAATTGAAGAAATAAAATAGTTACATGATATATAACATAGTTCTTGTATTTTTTTATATAAGAGTCTTAAGTGACTATAGTGACAATCATGCTGACACAACTCAACATTCAAGCATGCGACTGTATATACACCTATACAAGTATACTACTGTATAGATTGATGCGATATTTACGTACTCGTACTCGTTCATACACATGTCTTATATTATAGGTGACAAAAAGAATTAGAATTGCTCAAATTAAGAAAATCTTAAGTCTTAACTCCTTTATGACCGGTCTCCCCGCCATAACGCATTGCACCAGTGCGCGGCAATATGACTTTGCAAGTTCATATCTTCGGTTCGGTCCTTACGATAGTTTTTTTCTGTAAATTTAATCTAACAGTGACGAGGATCGATGAGGTCCACGGGAACATTTACCGCATTGTTTAGTGCATCTGTGCATGGTGGTCCGCAATATGACTGAGATGACTGCCGGAATCACTGGATTTTTAACTGAAATATTGGCACAATAAAATTCAAAAATGAACATCTACTATTCACGTTTTTGCTTCTTTTTTACACTGTACGATATATGGTATGTCCTCGCAGCCTAAACGGTTCGGACTGCGAGCAGATTACGACGGTTTTTAAAGTCTGAATCCAAACTAATAAACATAGCTGTGGTACCAGGACATCATTTTTGCAACGAAAATCACAGAAATTCCTGAATTTTGTCAGTCTTGGCAATACAGTCGTTTTCGTGATTGAGGTATTGGACCCGGGGTTTTAAGCCCTTTATCTTGTCGCATGGTGATACATTTACAAATTTTAAATCATACAGTTATATTAGATTATATAACAATTGGGACATCAGTAACAAGATAAAAGGCTATGTAGTAAGTACTTTCCGGAAGGTACGGCAAACTAACTAATTTAGTGTTAATTCGGAAACGCATACTGTTCATGGGAAGCATAAAACATTTTTTTGAAAAATCACGGCCAACCGACAATTTCCAAAAGCATAAAAAGAAATATATTCCGAAGAAAAAGATAATCTTAAACCATATGAATTATAAAACAAGAAGTTTCTACTTGACTATGTGGAAGTCAATAAGTCATCATCATACTGCTTACATCAAATAAAGTCGGAATTTTTTATCAGTAGTTTTGTTTACTGAGTTCATTGATGACATATTGAATTTCAAAATTATTTTTATCTTTTTTAAAATTTTTTACTGTTTCAGAAGAGTGGAATAACGGAGAAACATTCCAGGAATCTTCAGTCTATCGACAACGACACGTCCGTGACTATTATAGTATAGTATTTTCTAATTTGTCAACTTATTTACTTGAATTGTATCAATTTCACAAAATTCAATTTTAAACCGCTATTTTATTGCTACTGACGAAGGGCATTCAGTGTTCAAAAACCTTAGAGTTATCTACTCAAGTTGTTTCCAATTAAACTCTCTTTGCAAAACTTTCTTTTCCATTTGATTTTATGTTATTTCCAGTGGTTATAAAACTGCCAACATGTACGTCTAAGGAACTATTCTAAAAACTCGTCAGACTGCAGTTAGAGCCGCACATAACTCATAAGAACTGCAGTCAAGGCTATATCCCATAAGGATGAAGTAAATTACGCAAATATAGAAACTACAGTTAAATATTCTCCCAGAATGCAGGAATTGTATTCTAGGGACTCCAGATTTCCGTAGAACTTTTCCTGGGGGAGAATGCCCCAGACACCCCTGAACCATTCAAGTATAGAATACGCATGGAAAATGTTTTGTTAATATTCAAAATCGAAGGAAATAATCTTGCTAATTGTCCTATATAAAAGTTCAAGAATATTGAAATCAATCTCTAAAAGACAACGCATATCTTCACTAGGCCACCAAATATTTGCCCCGGGCCCCGAAATTTCTCTGTGCGGCCCTGACTGTAGTAATGTATAAAATTTGATATATAATTAGTTTACCGGTTCATATTTGGACCTCTGAAATAACCAGACATCGGATAAAGATGGTTGATGACAACATCGCATGCTCATGCCAGTGAAGTGACCTCATGCCAACACGGCTTGATTGTGTGACGTCATAAATTGCGCGCGTGCGTGCAATGAGACTAGAGCTAAAGGCGGTAAGCTTGAGGAAGACATAATTGGTAGGTTTCTGCAGTAAGCGTTACGAGGTAACAGATGGTACCGGTTTGAACCGGGGTACAATAAAGAAAAGACATGACTTTCCCTACTCCGAATTTTCCGAATAGGCTCTCTGGAATAGGCTTGTGACTTTTCCGAATAATGCAATTTTCTAAACGTTGGGGGGTCCCCCCTCGCTACGGCCCTGTTGATTGCAGTGCTTAGTGAAACTCTTCATATCGAAATGAAAGAAACCAAAATATCTTTAGACATATTTAATGATTAAAAGTACTTATCGAACAATACACGCTTCAGGAAAGTGCGTCACCTTGGCTATATGGAGCTTAGTTTTTGTGTATGATTGAGATATTGGGCTTTAACTAATGTCTTTAACGAGGTTCTATAGCCAAAGTGACGTACAGTCAAGGCATTTTTTAATACCATGGACTGGTGGGGCATTTGCCCCACTAGGCCCCCTCCTCTGCCCCACCACGTATTGCCCCAAAGCCAGGGCCCTATAGGACCTGTATTGAGTAAATGAGTTTAACATTGAAAAGAAGTTTAAAAAATAACAGTTTTTGGTGAGCATACTTAAACTAAATATATTGTGTTTGAATGTTTAGCATGCAATTTATTACAAATTTCACCATTAAAACTTTGCTTTGAGAGGCTGAGATTTTTTTTATTAAATGTGTTCTCAGAATGCAGGAAATGCCATTTCAGAGATCCATTTTAAAATTTCCTGGGGGGAGGCATGCCCCCAGACCCCCCTAGCTAACTTGTACCTGTGGTACTCGGCTCACACCTTCGGCAATCGCATACTATCCTGCGGGTAGGGCAAGGAAAATGGGCCCTTTGGCAGTTTTGCCCCACCACTGAAGAATCTTAAAAAATGCACTGGACGTACTTTCCAGAAGTGTATGTTAACTTAAATCAATTAAATAGTCCTGAGCACCAAAGTTAATGTGACGTCATTTTCGGGACGTTTACATGGAAAATGGCCCGCGATCAATTCATGAAATATTCTCTATCTTACAATAACGCCTATCCAAGATATAGGATGGATATAAAAATCTGACCAGGGCCAGGCTCAGGTTTCTAGTATAAACATAGCTTAACAGACATTACTTGATTCTACAGCAGCGCCTCGATGTGCTCACGTGTAGGCGAAGTAGCTCTCGAGGACGCGCGTGATGAAGGTCTCGAGCGAGATGACGTATGTTGTGTGACATAAGTTGAAGGATGTTGCCGACTTAAGCTTGGTGTCTTAGGCATTTTATAACTGGGAGTTCTGAACAATGTCCTGCCACTGGGAGAGTGAGGAGACATTGTGCTACATGTACTAGAGGAACAGTTCAAGTTCGGAAAAGAATTCATTTGATGTAAAGATGGTGAAGATTTTTTCGGAGAATCTTTTTTCGATAACCTCCTTGCCATTTCTTGAAATTCTTTTGGTAATTTTTTATAGTTTGGAAGAAGATTCGACGTCAGCGTGTTATCTTCTGGCTTTTCTTGTTCCTACAATATGAAAATAGCAGCGTGTGACCAAATAGTTATGATTGTAAATTTTGTGGATCTTAGAAGATAGCATGTTATAATGTATCATGTTTGGAGATGTGTTCTAGGATCGTTTTTCATAGAATTTTTGTTGCAGTCAGAATGATTGTTTCAGGTGAAAAGATCATATTATAGGTTAGAGAATAATAAAATTGCAAAGTTTGAAACGCATCGTGTAAAAACAGCAGACGTTATCTATAATGCACATATAATAGTTGTAATTCCAATAGGAACTTCATAATGGCAGGCCTAAGCCTAAAATCGACCCACGCGTATGGTGTAAATAAAGCGAGGGGTTGTTTTTTTCAACTATTTTCCAATTTGTTTCAATTTTTAACCTTTCCAATTTTTACTATGTTTTTCAGTCGCGGTTAATACAGTCGTTTTCATTTCTGATGAAAAGATAGTTAACCGCTGCATACAGTGATGATCCTGAAACTCGTCTATTACCCTGATATTCAGTATCACAGTATGAGCAACAACAGAAATTATTCCGCGGTATAAGCGAAGCATGTATATTTCTTACCTGTCTAGCGATGTCTTCAATACATTCACTTTCCAATTGTTCAAATGTTTCCAAACTGTTATGTCGGGTACTGCATGGTGTTTTAAAGAAATTCAGTTCCGAAATGGGTGATTCTGGGTAGAATTCTGCATCCGCCTTTAGTTTTGGTTCACCTAACTTTTTCTCGCCCGTTCCTAATTCTTTAAACAAATCAACATTGTCGAACAACGTAGTTGTGTCCGTACTTAGCATAGATAGGAAATTATCTTGCGATTCAATACTTGTTTGATTATTTTCAGCATCAGGTAAGGTGTTTTTGTCCTCAGACGATATTGACGAATATTTTTTGTTATCCAATTCCTTTGTGTGTATTAATTTCTTTGATTTCTCTATCCTCTCTGCACTAGGCTTTTTAGCTCGATCTTTTGATTCTTTTTTAATTTCGGCTTTTGTGCATGGTGGAGAAGAAGTTGTGTGATCAACTATGCTTTTCTTTTGTGTGGAAGACTTTTCTTTTGATAAAATGTTTTTAGCTTCTGTAACCTTACTTTCGTCCCTGCTTTGAGTTGTCTTTGGTTGTCGATGTTTTAAACTTACTGTTTTGTTTTCAGTACATATTTTATTTTTATCAAGTTGTGCTGACTTTATTTCTTGGTTTCCTTTACTTTTACCCTGTAATGACTTCATTTCTTGGTTTTCCAACTGTTTACTATTCCTTTTTGTCTTGACTGAAGAACTGTGGTAATCAAACATGTCTTCGTGGTTTGTTATCACAGCATTTGGTTTCACTGCAGGCAAGCTCTTTGACTTGTTAACTACGCGAACCTCCAAATCCTCCACTACGTTTTCAGGTGGAGAATCTTCAATCAAATCCTGAGACCAACTTGCAATTGTATGTTTATCGTTTCTTCTTTTATTCCCCATCAGTTCCTTATCAACTCTATCTCCTAACACATGTTTCGGCATCTCTTTGACCAAAGACTTTGAGTTAATATTTAACATAAACTCAGGTTGGTAAATTGAACTATAATCATCAAATGATAACTCAGGCTCCTCTGCAATGGTGTTGACAACAGGCATAACTTTCTCTTGAGGTTTACAGGCATATCGCAGCGCCTCTGGCTCCGAATCATTGTCACTGTGCGAAGTTTTTCTCAGCCGTTGTCGCGGATTCTTAACAGAATATACTTTGTTTTCCAATTCCAAGTCCTGTTGAAGATACTCTTTATAGAACTTTAAATTCCCTCCCATGGAATATTCAAAGTACGTTGGGCAGTGGAAGGATTCTTTCTCTTGATAGTTCGAGAGAGGTTGAACTAAATTTTGAAACTGATCTGATTCTTGGATTCGAATTTCCTGAACATCCTGAAGAACCGTGGTGCTAAAGCTATCCGAGTCAATGTTTAAGATCTGTTTCATATTGGAATTTCTAGAAAAGAGAAATACAGCATCCTTTCATAATTCGAACTGAGCTTAACTCTTAGCTACAAGTAAGTATGATAATTAGTACACCCCACTCACTTATAACCCACTCACACTTACTGTAGATCTAACAAAAAGACTTACCTTGAGCCACTGTAAGTATTTCTGATCCTTCCCTTCTCAAAATTACAAAAGCTGAAAGAAATATTATATGTTATAAATAATGAACAGAACCTAGTCAGTGTTCGAGTGATCCCATTTATAGAAATTAGATTTATTGCATTCATGTTTCCTTTTACCTATCCCTCGTTTACCTTGTTATGGGAACACATTATCCCAAGATGGATAGAACTATATAACAAAAGTACTATAATATCTAATTGGATATTAGGAATAAATAGATTAAGTAATCCAAAGTAATAAAAAATATAGTCTAGGGAAAGAAGTCTTATGATCGGAATATTGATGTGTAAAACAACTGAACTAAACTAGGAAACGGCCGCGACTGATATAGTTAATTTTAACATTCGCAACCGTGAAAGAAATCTTCAGGAGAGTTAGTATAGTGTTATTCTTCTTCGGGCTGGTGAATGTTATTATACTTTGGCCAAGGCTAAAGCTCCAAGTTTAAAAATTCACAAAATTTGATTGATTTATGATTATCTAGCCTAGGGTTTGCGAATTGACAAACAGATTCACATAGCCATATGTGCCGTACAATTACAAATATAGTAAATATTACCTCATCAAAAACATTTCTTATCGCTTACCTAATGGAACTCCAGACACCCATCCTGTGATAAATATTCTTACTTTGATTTTAGACTTTTCAGCGAATTTATATTTCCAAAGGCAGAGAACAATAACTTGTATACACAATCACAGCTTTGAGAACCTCGGTTGTCTTAAGTTAATTCATTACAACTCACAGCAAGTGTACCGTAATTCTTCGCTTGACAAGATCTCCGCTTTCAGTAATTTTGAAAAGAAATGTGTCACTGTATAATGCTCTTTCTCTGAGATGACTTTGACGGAAGAGTAACTTTTATCAATTAAAGAAAGTGAACAATATGCAACCATTTATGCAAATAAAGATTTTGCTTTTGTGACTATGTGAATTCCACCACCTGTTCCAGAGCCTTACAAACAATAATTCAACAGGTGTTGCAAAACTTCACGGTAAACTATTATTAAAATAAGTAGTACATCATTTGTAAAAGTAGTATATGTAGCTCTGTATTTACGAAATTTACCAGTTTAGGTAGAATATAGTTTTCAGAATGATGGGCGAAGTTTAATTTGGTTCTTCTGTGTTCTCTCCCAGTTAATCACGATTACGATTATTAGCATTTCTATATAACGCAAACTTTACATGTGGATATGATGAAATGTATGCGCTTTATATTAAGTATTACGCTTACCTAATGGACCATTTGCATTATAGACTAAATTATGATCTAAACAAGTCTAGACAAAAATTCCATCACAGTTTGAAAGAACATTCACAAAATTAGTAATATTCCAAAGTTTCGTTGCGAAATGTTGTAAAATACGGAAAACATAGCCTTGCGAAGTTTGGCGTTTTTCAGTCATTTTGCATTACGCGGGGGAAATTGACAGCCCAATACCCTTTGGGGCTGCCAATTTCCCGTTAGTAATACAAGATGACTGAAAAACAGCAAACTTAGCAAGGCTATATATTATCCGCATTTTACAACATTTCGCAACGAAACTTTGGAATATTACTAATTTTGTGATGCTCTTTGAAGTTCTGATGAAATTTTTGTCTAGACTTCAAATGGTCCATTACATACTTGGCCTAGACTATTTTATCATAGTTACAACAATTGTGATATTACTTTCTTAACTGTGTTTATCCTAACCCACCCGGTCAACTTTCCCTGTGGGAGGAAACTGGAGCGCCCAGGGAAACCCAGGACTTTCGGCGGACTGGGCGGAGCGTTGAGTGACTCTTTTCACATGAGTCCGTAGACCGTAGCGAGAATCGAAGCCACGAAAGGCGCTTGTTCTGACGACTAACATAAGCTAAGCTACGCCAGTTAATCTCAAACGTCTCTCTCAGTTAGTCTTGTCTTGTTTTCAGTTCAACAACATTATTCTTCGGAGTTTGCTTCTCAGTTTAAAATTTTCTGAAAATGTCGGCTGGCCGTGGTTATTAATCCCAGTTTTTTGGTATAATGAATATAAATGAATGGATGTATCAACATTCTGCTCAGTGGCTCTTGGTTTCAGAACTGACAAAGACAGACTGACGCGTAAAGCCCAGTTCGCGGGCTTCGCTCACAGAGCGTCCACAACATGTTTTGCCGGACGTGGGGTTTATTTTTGATAATGGGAACCGAGATGGATGGAGGGATTCAAGATTTTAGGACGACACAGAACGTCGAACGAACAAAATCTAGTACGAAAAACGGGCGGGTATATATTTTGATGTTAGTGAGAAAATTTGACACAAGTTTGGGATGAATTTAAGAACCCTATTGTGCCTAGTTTGTGACGCAGACTTTACAATTTTAAGGTCTGTGAGACTGTCATCTGACGTCACTGATTGCAACTAGGTTTAGACTGTGACGTCAGGAATTTTCCTATCCAGTTATTTTACAATCCATGCTGTGACACAGGCTATATTGTGCCTTAATGTAATTGTGGACTCTTCACACATACGCATGAAGCGTGCTCGATCAAATTTAAACGATTTCGGCCATCGTTCATACCGCGGAACGCGTAGATTATCATGCAGCATTGCTGAAGACTGGAGAGCAGCATACAGCTATTTCAATTAAGGTTGTCCCCCGAGCAAAGTGGAAAAGTCGAATACGAGCGCGAAAGGCTGCTGGGAATCGCTAATAAATTTTGGAATCGCTAATAAATGAATGAATTGCGCTCGTATTCGACTTTTCCGCTTTGCTTGGGGGACAACCTTAATTGAAATAGCTGTATACACGCCGCAAGGCCTCGACTTCATTCTTTGATTCCCTTTCAGTTTTATTCAATCTCACGTATAGTGTTTGAAGTTTCTGTCTGTTCAATTAAAATAAACTTCAAAAAATTTTATAAGCGTCACGAAATGGCGAGAAAAAAAATTAGGCTCGTTTTTTCCCGGAAAGGGTAAGAAGATCACGTTCGCGCCAGACCGTACGAACTCGATATTCAGTCATGTTAACAATAACGTATGAGATAAGCATCAGCATAAAGAATTAAAACTGACCAAAGCCAAAGGCACAACAAAGAATCCGAACTGATGAAGGGTGAAAATTTCCTCTGAGCGGAGGTTGAGGCGGAAAAGTAGACATTTCAAGATAAATTTTGCATAGCCAAGCTCTAAATGTATAGTACTAGTTTTCTTTTGCCGTTTCTCTGCGTGCACATTATTTCACTTGTGTGAACCAAGTTAATATATTAAAGAATTACAATTATTTTGAGTGCAGTGAATGGTATAAACGTTAATATACCCAGAGCCGTAGAACGCAATCTTTAAGATACTATTATATTAGGTACTGAAACGTATCAATACTCATACTGGGAGTTGCAATATCACAATGGGACCAATGTAGAGTGATGCCATAAACAGAGGCATTCCTTCATAAGGTTGCTATACCCGAGGTGGACGTGACGCCTGTAAAAACACTCTTCATAGATTAAATCATTTATTGTCTATATATTAATAATCTAAATAATTGCATATGCCAAATAAAAGAAAATGCATAATGCAGTGCTATTCCTGGACACCAGTGGACATATTTTTCAACCAAGTAACTAGACTATCATATCTTGAGATATAGGGCGGAATTATGTTCGTAGGAGCTTCACTTCCCTCTCCCTCTACCACTGTGTCAGGTAGCGACTGAGTGTCTTGTGAGATGGTAGAAAATGTCATATTGGAATACAAAGCAGGCACAGGTGGGGGCAGATCCACTGGGGAAAGTTCAGCAAAATGTTGATAAATATGCGAAGTATCCGCCAGTCTATCAACTGCAGTGATGTCCTCGTAAATCGGCTCAGAATTGTGTTCACTCATCCGCGGTGACAAAACATTCTCAACAGGCACTGATCGTTTACGACGTTTTAATCTTCTCGCCTTTTTATAACGTTCTCTCCATTTCAACCATCTGAAAATTGGGAAATTAATAGTGGTACGAACTTCAATATATTGGTTATTGTACATGCAAAGCTTTTTCGTGTATTACATGCAGTACAACATATCAACTGCAAAAACTGCTTTAATTGGCTGCGTGCTCTATAGCTTATACTTAGACACTTAGTAGCTGCAGGGGCGCATTGAGGTAACAGCAGAACTCCCGAATCTAACGTACACCTATAGTACTGACTATGGATAGTTTATAACAGCATTTTCGTAATTTCGTCTTGACCATTGTCAATAATAAAATTAAAAAATTCATGCACTGAAGTGGTGTACCTATGCAGACTATATTGCTAACCATCTTCATGTTTCAATTCCGCGGTTACCATAGCGGGCTGTGATTGCCTCGCGACGCTTGATCTATTAGCTGTACTAAATCCACCATGCCGGCTGAACAAGTTCATCAGAGGAAATAAAATTAAAGTAAAGCATAGGTTGCCAGTGCTATATTGGGTTATACAGGCATGCGCAGGCTGGCAAAAGAGAATAAACTAAAGTCAAGAGATACCTGCAGAGACCATGATGACCTGCAAAGTTGATGATTTCATCCCTTACCTCTTATAAATACAAAAGCCACTTATAAACATGACCAACGTTCCCAAACTCCCTGCAACGGCTCCAAATATAGCGCAATTTGGATAATCCTTAAAATTAATTTCTTCGAAATTTGGAACTGACATCTGTAAAGAGTAAAGGTAAATAAAACATGTTTATTTAATTTTAAAATTTAAGTTAAGCCCGGCGGCGGATCAGTCAAATCCAGGATGAAAGTGCATAAGAGTTCCTTGCCATCCTTGGTTAGCTGCTCTTAATTTAATGCTTTCCCAACACTGTCATGTATTTTATTTAAGTTAAAACATAGTTGAAACGCTCATCAAACCTTCATTTTGTAAATCTAGAATTTAAAATGTCCCGCCGCCATAACAATGCGTGACTCTAGTGCCGCCAATTCTCATCAGTCAACTCTCATCCTCGTTTGCCGGACCGGGTCTCTATGCGCAAGTGTGTTCGAGATTATATAATAAGGCGCCACTTACAAGTCTCAATGCAAGATAAAACTAAAATCCAGATCGGTTCCAGACGTTTTGGGAAAAGCAATCACTTGACCAAAAAATATCCAAGCAACATGGATATTTGAGAAGTAGCTGCCACTACAATATTATATATCACAATATGCATTTCATCAAAGAAGTGCAAACAAATAATTTGTATATTTAGATCTATCTTTCCAAAACTAAACGACCCAAAACTTACAATTACTTACCTTGAACTAATTTGGTTCTGCCTCATTAGCATATTTTCCGTGCTCCGCGGGTTGTCATTTTTCTTCAACTCTCCTACTTTTATTGAATATTTGAAGCATCTACTTCATTACTTTTTGGCTTAAACAGCTCGTGCGTTTCAAAAAATTTAATTCTGCAATAGCATATCACTTCATTGTGACGTCACATTATGAAGAGATATCTGTACATGTTGTGATCTAATTATAAGGTCCCGTTTACACTTGCAATATTTGCTACGATTTCAGGTGTGATTTTCTTCATCTGCTTGACAACTGCTGGACATGATGATCGAGTTATGAATGGTCGGATGAAGTTCATAATTGACTTACTCGTTCACTAGAAACGCTGACCCTGTCAATGGTATTCTTCTTAATGTATCTCGATGCAGGACAGTTAGCTCCAAGAACAATTTCTATGTGAGAGCGCCTAGCGTATGGAACATTCTCCCTAGCAATATTCGTGACACTTCAAGATCATTAGCTTACTTTAAAATCTTTTTATTCAATTACTACTTAAACCTTTTAGAACAAATATACAACCCGGACAATCCTAGAACATTTAAGTCCGTGTGCGTCAAATGCCACTCAACTCGGTCTCTTGATAGTTTATTAGTGAGGACATGTTGTTGACATTTTAGCATAATTTGTTTTAATGTTATATATTGTAACTTATTGTGAGGGGCCCCATAATTGGAGATTATCTCTGTGGCTAGTCCCTGCCCGAATTGTATGTAAATTTTGTAAAGTATTAGTCTTATTTATGTCTGTTATGTTTGGCGAATCTTGTAAAATAAAATAAAATAAATAAAATACATGCATCAGAAGACGAAATCCGCACTGCTGAAATCGTAACAAAAAGTGCCTGAAAGGTGTGATCAAATAAGCATAAGACTACATTTTTTCTTATTTTGCTCCATTTTTCCTCTTGTTACGAATGGAATCATCGTACACAAAAGGTTGGAAGATGAAGTTTATTTACCCTTTAGTGTATTCCGTTCAGGTAATGACAAATGTTAGATTTATTATTTTTTCATTTTCATATTTGGCAGAAATGGACCCCAGAATTGAAATCTTCATGCTCGGCATGAAATGAAAATATTTTCACTGCAGCGGAAATTCCAATCAAATATATCAGAAAAACAAAATTTTCTAATCGCCGTAACTCGCGCTGAATGTCCCTGAATGATGAAATTTTCGGTGCAGACTAAATTGAGCATCTGCATGCATGAGGATTTCAGTCTGAGATGAAAAATTGATGATGTCAACTCGGATGAGAGAATAGCTCCGCCGGTTTCATGAGTCAAGTCTCACGGTTTACCCGCCAGCCGGTCTCACGATTGGACTTATCACAAATCTGACGAGAATATCAGGAAAATTCTTTTTATTTTTCAAATTCTAGATGTAGTTGAATGCAAGCAATTTGATTTAGGACTGCATGTTTTTTACTCTTCTAATTCTTCCAAATCTGATGAAGATATGTTCCAAGAGCGTATGTCAAGTATTTTCTAGTGCAGGAAATAGCCTTCTCAAAACTCTTGTAGAATTTGCGGGCATGTTCAGCCCGGAGACCCCCCATTCTGTTTATACTGGGCTCGCTGCTTACTAACAACCAAATATCTGAACTTTTAATAGCAGCTCTGTACGACAGTACAGAGTATCTGTTTTGTTCAGTTTACTTTATGACACATTTTCCCATTACATCATTTACATATAAGCCTTGGTTATTTTTTATATATGATTATAACTTTCATCAGTTCTTATGGCACTCTTTTTATGACCAAATTTAAATAATTAAAAACGAACAGGCAGAAAAGTTGTTACACTTCACACTTGTTACAAATTGTTCCAACGACTTGGTTGGTCCGGTGGTCCCGCATCCAGTATAAAGTTGTTATCAAAGTTTTGAAGTATTAACGTATCCTAACAGCAGACCGCTGAACACATAATTTTCGTAAATTGTTGCTGTTCACAGCATCACACCCCTTCTTGGTAAAGTAAACGTTGAAATTGTTTGTTTCTATACAACAGATTGTCGATGGCTTACCCAGGATATGGAGTTGTAAGTATTAAATAAAGATTCAGATTATTATTTGTTTAAGAATTTTAGATTTTCGCCCAGTAATTGGATTCTTACAAGGTGATGCTTCACAACCTCAAGCCGGATGTTAATTACTTTCTAATGTTTAGTTATTTATATACTTTCGTTGTTGCCATGTCAGAAATATGTTATTGTATATCTGTGCAGAGCAAAACTAATATCAGTCTTTGTTAGTAGTCCAATCTGAATTCTGTATATTGCTGATTTGCTATTTTGTTACACAATAAACACTAGAGACTAAAGTACCGTTTATCCACCGATCAAAACGAAGGTGTAACATCCCCCCCCCCCCCGGGCATATACCCGGGCATTAGACTTTTTGGATTTTGTAATGATCAAATCTTACACGAAGTTCAAATGCCCTACATTCCACAACTAAGTGGTGGTCAAATGCCCCATTGTAAATCTAATTTGAAGGTTAAAATTCTTCAACTTCCCCAGGCCATTCTGGTCCAACCAATCCTGAACATTATTATTCATTGTACTGTGTTCTCGGTTTGTCATTGGCTAAGAGCCTACAAATAATTTTGGGTATTTGTAGGTCCCTGCGCTATTTCCAGTGGAAACAGTAATCTGCAAAGGTTATTGGACGGCGCCCGAGATATTTCAGCTGTATTTTATGTGAAAATACCAAAATTGGCGGGAAATTTTTAGTTGAATTTACGAAAAGTTAATCAATTCAATGAATATTTATTTGTTTTCAATTGTTGCTTGTTTTGTTTTCTTTCTGTCACAAAATGAATAATAAAACAATTATTGAATTTGGCTTGCGCAGGATACCAGAATTATTCAGACCTCGGTCAATGTTATCTGCCTCAGCCTTCAGCTTCGGCAGATAACATTGACCTCGGTCTAAATAATTCTGGATATCCTGCTCAGCCTCATCCAATAATTGTTAATAATTTGCATTTTTTAATACAAATTTCGCCATTTTCTTGAAAACACAAAAGCAAAAAATGGGCTTTTGACTGACATGTTAAAGCCTGTGGTAGCAAGTCAATCTATAGTACTAAGTCTTCATGTTAGGTAAACTAACGTTTTTAGTTGTGGTCAAATCTCCGTCCTCATTATAAGTGGAATCAAATATATGCCCCACCACTTTAAATTTTCTTGGCAACAAATGCCCGCTCCTAGGGAATGTCATGAATGGCATATGCCCCTCTCATGTCCGGGGGGATGTTACACCTTCGTTTTGATCAGTGCATTAGTAAACAGTAAACACTAAAATGTGACTGATGTGGAAAATATATTCCCTGTGTCTACATGCCCAGCAGCCGGGTAATAGAGTCAAAATACTAGATGCCCGGCAGTCTGGCATTTATAGTTAAAGTCACTTTTAAAAAAAACCTGATCCCAATCATTCTCCATGCAGCCTTAACCTCTAACCCATGAAGGTTGAGGAGAGTTCGGGAAAAAAAACTTTACAGGTAAACTACGTGAAGCGTTCCTCTTTCGAGTTTCTAAATTGATTGCAATTTTCCTCATTACTTTTGCAATTTAAAAAACTCCCTTGCAAATCCCTTGAGGAAATTTGCAATGTTGCTAAAGCCAATTAAATTTTCCTCAGTTCCTGTTAGAAGTTCTTAACTTCCTGTTACAAGTTCCTAACTTCCTGTTCTGTTCTTGGCGTTGCAATTGGCTAACAAAAATAATCGACCAACAATAACAACGCTCAGAACAGAACAGGAAGTTTGGAAATTAAATGACAGGAAGTTAGGAAAATTTAAAATGAAGTTTGTTGCATTGGAATATTGCAACAACCGATAGGAATATTGCAAATTCCCTCAAGGGATTTGCAAAGAGTTTTTCAAATTTGCAAAGCTAATGAGGAAAATTCCAAATGAGATACGAAGTCAAAAGAGGAACGCTTCACGTAGTTTACCTGTAAAAGTTTTTAAAAAATTCTAAAGTGAACTTGAAAATAACGACATGAAGCAGAATTGATCCGACCCCCTAGAACATTTCAGCCGCATGGTTTAGCCGCTGAGCTAAAAACAAGTTTGCTGAAATTCACAGATATACTAGATTTTTCAGTAATGATGTGGAGTTCCAGTGTGGTATAGAAATGAACAATATATATCAAGATCAAACTACCTGAAAATATATAGAACTTCAACAATGAATGGGTGATTCCAGCTATGGATGAAATTTTGATCTAGACAAGAAGAACAAAATCCAACACCACACCTAGAAAGAGCATCTTAAATGAGTAAAATTGCAAAGTTTGGTTGCAAAATGTTGTAAAATGAGGAAAATATAGCTCTGTGAAGTTCGCAAATTTTGTATATATTTGCACAGGCCTTAAAATATCTTTTACAGGGCCGTCTGACAAAATGTCCGGTGACGTTGAATTTGGGTCGGACATATTTCCGATGACCTTCAGTTCAGTTTTGACTCGGAAATAAGTCTGAATGACACAAATGAATAAACGGTAAATGTTGTAAAGATATTAAATAATTTGTTCCTTTCATACTTATTTCCAAGCCAAAATTGACTTGCTTTCCAGAACAGCAGTATTAAAAAAGACTTCGACAACTTAAGCCTGTTTTCCACTTCACCATTTTGCTCGCCGCCCCGCGCTCGACTACGTTAAAACAACATTTCCAGTTGACCTTTTATACAATAGTGCTCTGATTTTCCATTTAACATACAAGCCTCTAGTCCTGGGCTAGGGTACATTTTGATTTCCGTCGGACAAAGCTACAGTTCGGTCGGACACCAATACACTCAGGTCGGACAAACAATAAACCTCAGTTTCACTTTGGTCGGACAGAATGTCCGGTGGTTTCCTTTCTACGTCGGACAATTTCACAAATGGGTCGGACAATGTCCTTGACCGACCGATATTTTAAGGCCTGTTGCATTACGTGCAGGAAAAATAACCATTTTTGAGCGGAAAGTGGTTATTTTTACCGCACATAATACAAATATATACAAAATTTGCGAACTTCACAGCTCTACATTTTCTTCATTTTACAACATTTTGCAACCAAACTCATTTTAAGATGCTGTTTCTAGGTGTGGTGTTGGATTTTGTTCGTCTTGTCTAGATCAAAATTTTGTCCATAGCTGGAATCACCCATTCTGGCAACAAATAGATATCATTCTGCAATGGAATACTTGTTCAATAATTTCCCCCTCTTACCTCAATGGGACAAGTTAATGTTCTAATTACTGAGATCAATTGAATTGACAATTCCAACACTCCTAAATTGACTGCTTGATATTTTTACCCTCTCCAACAACATATGATTGGTTGAATCATTATGCTGTAATGCACCCTACTTTGTTATTTATTAATAACAAAGCCAGGCAATTTTACTTGTTGAGAGGAGATGGTAGTGTTAATAAGTATACACTATAGAAAAACTGTAGGAAGCACTTCCTGTTAACCTTTTTTTGTGGCCTAATATGTAGGGATGAGCCGATACCAGAAAAAAGCCGATTCGCCGATCTGATATTTCGGAGCCGATATAAAAAATAATCGGCCGATTAATCGGCTATGGCCGATATTTCTTTGTAAAAGTTGAGGGGTTGTAAAAGTTGAGTTTAAAGGGGTTTTGTTGCAATTGGGACGCAAGTCCTGTTCAAACTCCTGTCATATACTTATAATTAATGATATTATATGTAATATATGGCAAATTCATTAAACTAAACTAAACTAAACTAAACTAAAAGTTTAAAAAACCCGGTACAAGCGCCGGATAACGGTGATCAGTTACAATAAATGGCAAAGCTAACTTTTACTGTCTAGACACCTCGACTTTTGAGCCTTTAATTTCTTTAAAGGCTTTAATGTTTATTTAAACAGTAAAACTGGCTGAATGTTTTTCAGTGATTTTGTGTTTAAGATACAGTGATAAGATTTTAACTTACAAGTGGTCTTATTCCTTACGAGTAACGCAATATGGGATTAAATACACGCAACAAAAGTGTTAAAAACAAGACGGAGTGTAGATTACTAGATTATTGAGTTATTTTTCTATTTTGAAAACGCCAAATATCGGCCGTACCGATTAATCGGCTCATCACTACTAATATGCCCTACTTTGTACTTTGTGTAAAATCCATTGATTTTAGAGAATAAGTTGGGCAATGTGTTGGGTGTTAAGTGGTTATTGGTTAATGACCTTTGCAGATTATTCCTCATTAATATATAAATTAATATAAAAATCCATATTCCCAGGCTCCAGGATATCCAGGTGGTATGCAGGATCCTTTATATGGCTATTTTGCAGCTGTTGCTGGACAGGTAAAGTAAAAATATACCTGTACTGTACAATGGTATTTGTACCTGGGTTGCTAAGAAGAAAGGGCAGAGGGATCCCCATTCCCCATTGCTGACAGAGGCTCCAACTTATAATTGGTACCAAAATACAGTAGAAGGGACCCTTCTTTTAATTTCACTTGCGTAGGCTTTTCCTTCATAGGGCCCCCAGAAAAAATCTTTTACTCAGGGCTTGCAAAATGTCTTGGCAGTCCTGAATCTCAAATATACTATTTATAGGACCAACAAATTGATGCACATGAATTACAAAGATGTTTAATGTCATCTGGAATCTCAGGAAACTATCAGCGTAAGTGAATACCTGCTACCAATGCAATTGAATATGATAAAGACAGACATATGTTGCAAACATAATTAGTCAATATAATAAATGAAACTAACAATGGTGTATGCAGAAGTGTCCTTAATTTCATCCTCTCACTTGCGAAATTATGCTGAAATTCAGGATACCTGTATGTTACTTGAAATCGTAGTAAACAATACTCGATCAGTCTATGGAATATACAGTACAGTATATTACAATTGGTTACTGATTTTTATTTCAGACTGTCTTTATTTCTTATTTGTGTTCATTATTTTTCTATATACAGTATTATACGTATTTGCAATTTTTAGAATTCAGTTTGGACACATGCAGAATTATGATTGCTATGCTCAATGTATCCTTTTCAGTTGTTGCTATCATTTTTTTAGTTTTCATTTAAGGTGGCTCTGTATCATTTGATTTTTTCGCGTATCGAAAATATTGACACTTTTAGCTAGACAACTTAAATTAATCTCCTTTTTTTCGTGTGGGCAATTTAAAAGTGTAAACAAAGTAAGTGTGATCACACTAGTTTCATGCAACTTTGTTTTTTGCTGCTTGTGATGCGGCACACATCCAAGTTGACCAAACTACGTTTTCTAATTTGCATAATTCGGTACAGTCGATATTATCGCTATATATATATATATATATATACATATATATATATATATATATATATATATATATATATATATATATATATATATATATATATATATATATATATATATATATATATATATATATATATATATATATATATATATATATGTATATATATATATATGTTAGTTGTGTTATTGTACACTCTGTAATATGTTAAGATGAAAATGTTCTAGAGTGTGTATTATATAATTTCCATACCCAGCGCAAGCAGAAAGATGTTGTCTGCCGCGGCTGGGTCTTGAACCCGCGACCTTCGAATTACTAGATCGACGCTCTACCAACTGAGCTGCACGGTCAGACGGATTTAAGACTGGAAATTAAGTATATATATTTCAGTATATATTTCATAATTTCCAGTCTTAAATCCGTCTGACCGTGTAGCTCAGTTGGTAGAGCGTCGATCTAGTAATTCGAAGGTCGCGGGTTCAAGACCCAGCCGCGGCAGACAACATCTTTCTGCTTGCGCTGGGTATGGAAATTATATAATACATATATATAATTATATATATATATATATCTTTTGGAAGCTAAAAGTAAAGCTTGGACGGTTGAAACTGGTTAAAAATTTATTTTAAAAATATTAAAATATCGGAAGACGTTTCGGTCAAACAACTAAGACCTTCGTCGGTTCTACTAAAACGTGAAACTACGTCTGTATTATATAGGTTACAAACAATTATGCTAAATTGCTACTAATTTGTTCAAGATAAAAATAAATATCCGGAATGTCATTAGGCCCGTACTAAAGTATGTTAATTGTTAAAACTGAAAACAATTATAATCTCAGTATAGTGTCTTAACGAACACAATTATTACGTTAACTGGTATTGAACTATACAAGGCAATTGTAAATCTCAGGAATGTCATTGTGATCATTTCCCGCATTGGCTTGTCTTAGAGAATGCCACGCTTCATGCAAGGAACAACCTTTTGTCATGGTCTGGTTCACGATCGACAATTTTGGTATTTTCAAAATCCATTTTGTGAAGGTGGGTGTTTGTGTGTTGCGCTATTTTAGAATATTCATCGTCGTTTTTCACCGCGTTTTTGTGCTCTTTGATTCGAGTTTTCAGAGCTCTATCTGTTTGGCCAACGTAAACAAAATCACAATCTTGACAGTCAATGCTATAAACCACAGATCTTGTTTGGTCTCGGTCAATTCGGTCCTTTGGCTTTGGGAAATGTTTGCGTAGGGTAGACGTAGTTTCACGTTTTAGTAGAACCGACGAAGGTCTTAGTTGTTTGACCGAAACGTCTTCCGATATTTTAATATTTTTAAAATAAATTTTTAACCAGTTTCAACCGTCCAAGCTTTACTTTCATCCAAAAGATATATATATATATATATATATATATATATATATATATATATATATATATATATATATATATATATATATATATATATATATATATATATATATATATATATATATATATATATATATATATATATATATATATATATATATATATATATATATATATATATATAGAAAAGGTTTCAATGTGCAACCAAAAGAGACATTTATAACGTAAAATAAAATAACAGCCACTCAAATTTTGCACAAACGTTTTCGCTTTAATGTTAGCTCCTCAGGTGCATATTTACAATGAGTGGAATTTAGTTTATCTATTATCTACGTTCTATGATATCATATTATAATAACTATGTTAGGAATGCATATATTTACATGGTGTGAAGTCACCCGTTAAAAACATTCTATTGATCTAAATGTAAGCATAAACTTAATGGTTTTTTAATTAGCGTTCAGATCCGGATTCAGTATATTGATAAGTTCTTTTTCTTTCATCTCCCTAACAAGTCTGTCCGTGTTAATGCATTGATATATAGGCATTATTTTGAAAATTCCGTTGTTACACATATTTAAGTGTTCGCTTACTTTTAGATGTCTATACTCTTCGTGTCGAATTTGTTCCTTGTGCAATGTCACTCTTTTTCGTAAGTTTTCTGTCTGGCCGACGTCGAAGCTGTCGCATTTTGAGCAAATGATCACGTAAATGACATATCTCGCTTTGCAGTTCATCGTTGAATTGACTTTCCAGGTTTTTCCGCTCTTTAATGTAACAGACTTTCCTGTGATTAAAACATCGCATGTTCCACATCGCTTTTCCTCGCATTTTGTTACACAGTGTTCTCTGTCCTCTGAATTGAATTGTGCTTTTGTCAAGTATCGCTTCAAGTTCTTCGGTTGGCGTTTGCTTACAATGAGTTTTGTTCTGTCTAATACTCGTTTCATTTTCTCGGAATTGTTTAGAAATTTAAAGTTCTCCCTTATTTTTCCAATTACTTGAGGATTGTTGGGATTATGAGTTATTACTAAAGGCAATATATATATATATATATATATATATATATATATATATATATATATATATATATATATATAAAGACAATATATATATATATATATATATATATATATATATATATATATATATATATATATATATATATATATATATATATATATATATATATATACATATATATATATATATATATATATATATATATATTATAATAACTATGTCCAAACCTTGAACACTGTATTATGTCACAAATGTCTTTGGGATTTTACCAGAAATAAAAAAATTCAAAATGCAAAAAAATTCCATCGAGTAACCTACAGTACATTATTGGCTATTGCACTTTAAAAAAATGGCATTTCAGAACTTTTTTATATTTTGCTTATTGTTAGTTTATGTCCAAAGTAAAATAGTGCACGAAAAAATTGGGGGTCACTGTGCTTCTTTAACAGCTACAGTACAGTATACAATCATGAAGAAATAGGCTAAATTAGAGGGAGTTTCGTATGCGTGTGTTGCCATAGCAATGAACTATGCGTTACCAAAAATAATTTGAAAGAAGAAATGTTAAGATATATGAACATCCTGATATCTGCTCCATAAAAAATACGACATTTAAAAATGTCAAATTGTTTTTCACATAAACTTTTTGAAAATTGTATCGAGCTACCTAAATTTGTAACTTGCAAAAAGCCCGGATTTGCTTTGTACCTTTGCTGGAAGCTAGTAAATAATATGTATTAATGTTAAACAGTAAAGGAAGTACATTGTACATCCTTAACTTTCACTTCAAGAGAGACCGAGATGCTCGTATGGGATTTAATGAATTTAAAGAATTATGGAATGTTCTTTCTCACTGGAAGGTGAAAATAATATTTAAGCAAATGCAGTGTAGCACTTGTCACTTTGCATAGTACGGTAATAGACCTTAGAAGTGCTTACGTCACGCATTTTTTATTAGAGTCCTTAAGATCTAGGACGGCAACGTGAAGACGTCGGCTAGTACGTAATACAATGAAGTTAATAATATTTAGGAAAAGAAATGAATAATTAAAATCCCACGGGAGATTTAGACGTCGTCCACGTCCGGTTTACAACCGGTAAAACCAGAGTTTTCACGTCCTGTCTACAACGTTTGCATTTTAGTACGTAAGTCGTAAGAAGTGAATACTCAGCAAATTGGTTCAGTATACTAATGTGGAATTCTACTCAATAAAAAGCCTCTGTTTTGATCTCTTCAAATTAAATTCATACGATTGATAATATACGATAAGCTTTATTTACAATCATTTATTTGAATGAAGTTGTTTTTGCCGTCCTACCTCTTAAGATCTCTATTACCCATTGTGGGATACTTTTGGGTCAATAATGGACCTTTCCCCTTAACTAAAATTTTGATCTAGACAAAAATACTGCACGCAGGCTAAATCGGGTGTTGGGGCATCAATTTCCCGTTTGTAATACAAAATGACTGAAAGTTGCAAATTTCGCAAGGCTATATTATCCGCATTTTACAACATTTCGCAACGAAACTTCGGAATATTACTAATTTTGTGATGCTCTTTCAAGCTGTGATGAAATTTTTGTCTAGACTTGTCTAGATCAAAATTTTAGTTATAAGGGGAAAGGTCCATTCATTGTTTGAAAATTACGTGACGTAAGCACTTCTACGGTCCACTTTGCAATAATTTAATTAATTTAATTTTAATGATTTGTCACAATATAGAGTACTATAATCACACAAACAGACAAGATACATGCAAAAATTACATATTGGTGTGACTGGGGAAAGGAACAGGACTTGCGTCTCAATTGACACCTGACCCCTTGGGCCAAAAAAAAATATGTGGGTTTCCGGTTTCCCGACCCTACCTAGCTTTTGGACGCCAAAATCCCGACCCTAAACTTTTTTATTGGGTCACGCTTGTAAGTGTTTCCACTTAGAGGAAAACGTTTGTGGAAAATGAAAATTTGAGGCAATATTAGGGAAATTTATGTTTGGATATGGAAGCACTGACTAAACAAAATGGCGTCCGGTTGTTAGGAAAATTAAAAAAAAGTTTAAAAAAAAAAGTTAAAACCGACCTACCCTACCTAAGTTTTTACAATACTTTTTACAATTACCCACATATATTTTTTTGGCCTTGAAACTTTACTGTTTATTGCACCCTTCGATGTGTTCGTGGCAATGCAATAGGATTATAATCTAATACCTAATAGATCACATTGCTATTATTGTTTTCAAAACTCTAAAGAATTGTATAAATATACATTTTATTTTATTTTAGACAACTTTCATTCAATATGATAGAGATAGATCAGGAACTGTGGAACCTCACGAGCTGCAAGCTGCTTTGACAAGTTGGGGTATGTTACAAATGTTTTATTTCCGCGAAAAATTTGTAGGCTTCTAATATTATATGCAATCTTTAAAATATCCAATGAATTATCTTGATTACAAAATAATTAATTTATTCCAGGTTACCAGCTCTCTCCGACTGCTCTACAAATCATCGTAAACCGATATTCTACCAACAATCGGATAAGTTTTGATGATTTTGTCGCCTGTGCTGTTCGTCTTCGAAGTTTAACTGGTATGTATAGGATAGCTACATGTACAATTCAGGCCAAAATTCATGTCCACACTTAAATCTTAATTCACTTTTGCAAAAATCCTAACAAACAGCTTAAACTTGACTTTACACACATTTCCCCCCCAATGACCAAATCAATGTTGAATTGAATTTTTCATCAAACACGAAATGTGGATAATGCGTATATATATAGAGGATATTACACGGCGGCGCGAAGATATGACTTTTATCTTCGAGTGGTGAAAACACGAGAAGATAAAAGTCGTATCTTCAAGCCACTGTGTAATGTTCTGTTTATTATATAGTCCCAAGCAAAAAATTGTATAAATACTAAAAGTCACGTGATCGTTATCTTCACTAGTGAAGATATGGCAAATATCTAGGTTTCACTGTGTATTTTTCAGTATCTCACTCTCTACTATATAATAAACGGATATATAAATTGTAGTAAAACTGCTTAATCTAGATAGGAGTAAGCACTGACAGACTGTACTGTGCGGTTTTCGCTATAAAATTCAAATCAAACGAATGAGAGTCTTATATTTCGGACTGATTACGTTTTCTGTAAGAATGAAAGATGCATAATTTTAAAATTTCCCTGAAATATGTGTGCAACTATATATATTTTCATTGTTCAATAGAGCACTTCCGTCGTCGAGATACCTCGCAACAAGGTGTGGCAACATTTCGGTATGATGATGTAAGTATGAGTATTGAATAACTTCAAAACATTGTCGTATCATTGTAAGGGTCATATAGCTTTTATGTCATCCCGCGAGGCGGAACACCCGAGTCCGGATTGGGCAACCTCGCGAACCACACCCTGCAGGCAGGCAGTGAAATGAGCATCGACTACAAGGTTACAGTATGTCATTAGAATACGTGAACACCAAATCTCATACTCGTGAGTCCGTAATTTTAAACAGAGATACAGGTTCCCAAAAGAAACCAGCGATAAAATGCGACGTTTGAACAGGCCTTTCAGTAGATGCATGCCGAATTTTCATTTCTCGTGTTCCACGTCCCAAATAAGAATTAATACTATATTCATCACATTTTCAATAGAAGCATGTATTGCTTGAACAAAGACGAATTAGGCGACAGTGTAGGTGCCGTGCTACAAGCAATACATTTTATTTACACGATTTTTTTTAGTTTATTCAAGTGTCAATGTTCACCTAAAGCATATCTTCACGATGCTACCAAATAAAGAGCAGAGATGATTTTTGATTAACAAGCGTAGAATACTGAACAGTGCATTTTATTACAAGATATAGTAATAAAATGATTTAATACTGTAATTTACATTAATTTGTGACTTTTTAATTTATAACAACCTAATTTCAGCAATAACACTGAATGACTGTATGAGATAAATTATTAGCATTTGTAGTTTCGTTGTAACGTAATGTGATTATTTTATTAAACGTATAGTATTGTATACTCGCATGATACGTTGTTCCTTAGTCGTTGGTGCCATATTTGTCAGGGCTGAAAAATTACTACTCAAAGCCTCAAAAAGGAATTAATTCCAATTACTTGCTTCATAAGGTAATGGACCTTTCCCCTTATAACTAAAATTTCGATCTAGACAAAAATTTCATCACAGCTTGAAAGAGCATCACAAAATTAGTAATATTCCAAAGTTTTGTTGCAAAATCTTGTAAAATGCGGATAATATAGCCTTGCGAAGTTTGCCGTTTTTCAGTCATTTTGTATTACAAACTGGAAATTGACATCCGATTCGGGTGTTGGGGCTGCAATTTCCCGTTTGTAATGCAAAATGACTGAAAATTGCAAACTTCGCAAGGCTATATATTTTCCTCATTTTACAACATTTCGCAACGAAACTTTGGAATATTACTAATTTTGTGATGCTCTTTCAAGCTGTGATGAAATATTTGTCTAGACTTGCCTAGATCAAAATTTTGGTTATAAGGGGAAAGGTCCATTAATTATAGATTGCATTTTGTAATGTGGATCTTGAGCTAAATATACTAGAATTGAAAACAGTAATACTAGAAATGAAAACAGTTATGATCGAAGTTAGGTTTTACTTAAAAAATCCTAGCGTGGGGAGAAAATTGTCAACAGTCTGCATTCTGTAATGGAAAGCATGCACTGCATGAAACAAAATGGCCATAACTCGTAAGTATATTAACCGAGGCACTGCGCCACAGAGTAGAGACATACAGAGACGTAACTGACCGTTGTAAACACTGCGGAAACTTACGTTTTCATGTACCCACTTTTTTTCAGGCGACCGGGCGAAAATGATCAACTGCGCGTGCTCAGCAAATTTAAAGTGAGTCGTCATCCAATCAGATGCATGCGTCTAGTAACTTGCCGAGCATGCGCACAAAAAAAGTGGGTACACTAGTTACGTCTCTGTATGTCTCTACTCTGTGACTGCGCAGAGACAGCGACTCTTGTTTTGCATTATTCTTATAGTTTTTCATTATTTTTTCTTGCTGGTAAATACTATTAGTATTTATTCCATTTATGCACGATTTCAGTGTAAAAGGAATTTGTAATTTTTATCTTTTAAAGGAATGCGTTCCTTTGTTTTGTAATTACCTTTTCCCCTTCCTTTTCAAAAATGCAATTAATTACTGCCTGGCCAAAATTGCAACAAATGTAACGAATAGCCTCTAACGCATTCAATTGCAACTCGCAGCCCCGGCATTTGTATGCCATAATTTTATGCGAGGAGCGTAGACCCTTACGCAAAGAAGCCGACGTCCACGTTGCATGCACTAACCAACGTGAACGATCTTGAGCTGGTTGCAACCGGTAGAATCTGTGCCATGAACTATCATTCCTTCTATTTTTACCTAATTTACAACATTTCACTTTCAGTCCATAATTATATACAACTAATCTTGAAGGGAATGAAGAATCAAGCGTATGCCCGAAAATAATTCTCCTGGTGCTGACAAGATTCCAATCAAAATCCTGAACGATTAATTGTTTGTGTAGTATTTCAACGCCATTGACTAATATCATCAATTGTACATCATGTACTTTTACAGATAACTGAAGGCTAGCGGAAGTTATTCTACGCTAAATCGCCCAATATCCCTGATACAATCTACTGCCAAAATATGCCTTACCAGGGAAGGATCTCCTTACCAAAAACACCAGAGTGGGAATATTAACCGTTAATGATTTCTCTGAATATACTTGTTTTAAAATTATTTCATTCTTATGCAATGGATCGCAAACAAATCACTGTTCTTGTACTAGTGGATGTATAAGGCATTTGACAGTATAAACCACAGCATACTTCTGGCAAAACTACTGAAAGATCAGAAAAGATTGGTGCATCAACCTATCAAGGAGTTACTTGACCGGAACAATTTGTACGCGATACGTATTCTTTGTTTGCAATGACGTAATTTCGGGATTTCAGTTGACGGGCAGGTATAACAAAAAACGGTTATTTTAATGCATTGATCGAGTTTAGAGCCAGTTTAAGACTCAAGAGATGAATTACCGTTCAGTTTTTCTTGCTACAACCATTCTGATAGGAGAAAAATCGTCCACAAGTTGTTTGATTGCCCGTCTTGGATGAAAAGTCACGTGATGGCAAACAAAGAAATTTTTGATATTTTATTGAGTGATGCCGTAAATAAAGCTAACCGTGAATTTCAATCTTTTTTTGAATGGTGCTGCTCAAATTATCTTATTAATCCAAGTAAAACAAAAATCATCGTGTTCGGAGTATCCCGTTGCTGTCGCGCTGGTCTCGTGTGTAACATTTACTCTGATGCACAAATAGTTAAACCAATCGCAAACGATTTCAGTATACATATGACACACTCATGTGACAACTGTACATGTCGTACAGTCTAAAAACATCCTGGTTAAAAATTTCCTGGTTAATCTAAAATTAATCCTAGGCCAGTTTGGGGTAATTTAATGCTCCTGGTTAAATTTCCAGGTTAATGTGTGTGTTTCTGAGTGGGGGTAATGTCTCTAGTGGCGTCCCACAGGGCACAAAGTTGGGACCTTGGTTGTTTATTCTCATGATAAACGATTTGAAGCTTATGGACATCACCCACTGGAAATACATTGATGATACAACAGTCTCGGAAACTATCCCAAGAAACGGAACCAGCCAAATCCAATCTGGAACTAACGAACTTGAAATGTGGAACTTGCAGAATAAATTCCAATTGAATGTTCAAAAATGCAGAGCTTTTGTTTCAATTCCACAGAAATAGAGTATCCTTTGATAATATCCATCTTCTTGCGGGGTGTCCAAACCTGGTTCGCCAAGCTAAAATTCTCGGTGTTACGGTTGGTGATGATTTAAGATGGTCTACGCATGTCCTAAACATAATAAAGAAAGCCAACAAGAGAATCTTCTTCATAGTCCAATTAAAACGAGCTAAAATACCAGCCAAAGAAATTCTAAACTTTTATTGTTGCTGTGTCAGACCGGTTCTGGAATACGCTTGTGAGGTATTTCACTTTGCTCAGCCTAAGTATCTCAGTGATAACATAGAACGAGTCCAGAGAAGAGTTACATCTATAATCTTTCCCGGTTTGTCTTACAGCGAGCGTTTGGACAAAGCTAATTTGATACTCCTAAGCGATACGCCTGCTCCAAGTTATACAATCAGATAACTAAGGACCCTGCACACAAGTTGTCGAATTTGTTTCCTGCACGTCCTCCTATCACCAACGACTTGCGTAGTATACGTGTCTTCCAAACACCAGTGATTAAAACTGATAGATTTTTAAAAACATTTATTCCTTCTTGTATTAAAGAATTCTCTTAAGCGTAATCTTCGTAGTTTTAGCTTTGTAAATACATAATTTATATACTGAGTTACACACTTTAACATATTTGTAACTTCCTTTTATATACTCTTCAGATGAACTATGTGTTTTCTTATTAAATCTAACTATCTCTATCTTAATGTAAACACAATCCTGGTTAACTTGATCATAGACATAGTCCTGGCTAATTTAACCAGAATTCCTGGTTAATTTAACCAGGCTAGATGGTTGAATTAACCAGATTATGTTTGGTGGATTCTTAACCATGCAGGGGTTCACCATGTATCGCGAACAAAGCCTGTTTTCCACTCCAATTTTCTTAACGTTCTAAGATTTAATTTGATCCTGGATCAAAATGGTAGCATACAGATGACAATGTTTAGCTTGATTAATGAACGATAATTAAATTTACTTTTCCAACGCTTCGTGTATTTATTATTATTAACATTGACTAAACCTACAATTAACAATGTATCAAATATAAACAATACGTTATAATTTAATTAATTATTAATTAGAATTATTAACATCTATTATAACATTATTTAGCAATTAACGTATCTAAACGTTTCACTTTTTGTCGTGCGATAACTGTTCTAGAAGATTCAAAGGTTCCCAGGTCACAGCTGCATGGATGAATTGTTGCTTTAGATTAGCAACTCTGAAATATTTTGCGCAGACAAACGCTGTATTTAGTTATTCATTATATAACTTAATATCACAATTTTTCAGTGTATTCTTCTGAGTTATGACAATTTTGTGATAATTAAAGTGGAGGAAAACATTGCCAATACTGAATGTAACACTTTTAAAACACTGCGTAAGACATTGGGGAACAATTTCGAATTTTTCTTTAGAGCAACACTCAGAAGGAAAAACCCTGGCCACATATTGGAAAACGGTTTTGAGGCATATTTAACTTGCCACTATATCATATACCCTTAGATAGCCATTGGGGTTAATCAAGAATAATGCCAAACACAACAAAGTTTCTCCATGCACAGGCGACGACATCCACATAAAATGTGGCAACCGTTCCAGTAAACCGTATGATCAGCGATGGCATGTGCAGAATACTTCACAATGATCACCTATATGTTTACTCACACATTAGCACATCATTCTGGTAGTTGCATGGTTGTGTCGGGTTAAGCTCTGAGCTTGTGATATCTGCAGAAAAATTGGTAGCATGGGAATTGATGGGAAAAATTCCAAATGGCGTGGCTAAGCACCGTTATTGTGTATGTGTTGGTCGGGATATACTTGAACTCGAGGCATAGTTGCGTCCGTTAGATTTTCCAAATGCCATTGGTTCAATTCTAGGTATGACGGGAAGAAAATTTCTGCAGCCGTACATTCCCGATGGTTGTGTGTCTGAATTCTGTAAAGGTTGCTGGGAAATAATGTCATATTTTAAATCGATTGGTCCGGTCTAAAATAATATAAAATTGAAATATAATTATAAAAGTTAAAATTTTCAATTATGAAAATGTTGAATAAGTAAATTCATGCGGCGGCCTTATGCGGTTTATTTTTAGAAAAAGATCAAAATCTGACGGAATAATTTTGAAGATCGTTTTCACAAGAACCAACCTTGCCATGAAGTCCATAAATGCGAGAAATTTCTTTCAGACTCACATTTTCACTCAGAATTTCATCACAGCGTGATATTTCAACCTAGAAAAACAATCAAATATTTAAAATTGTTTTCAGCTCGGTCAGTTTTCTACCCTGGATTCCAGAGCCTTCGACATTTCAATTTATTATTTACTGTCGAAGGCTCTGGAATCCAGGGTATCAGTTTTCAGCATAGCCTGATATTAGCTTCCTAGCTCCGCAGGTATCTAGTAGGGAACAACTGGGACAGGCCGGTTAGAAACAGTCAATTTTTCTAATGCATAGAGTCACACCCATTGAACCATATGTAAACTGGGAGGCTAACTGCTATGATGAAGGCCTATGATTTGCTGAAGCCAAAATAGTTTTTCTGAGTTAAGAGCAGAAATAATTGATCCCAAACGTTGGGCTATATATCAAACTGAAGCTATTGAAAATTGCTATTCGGTGTGGAAATTTCAAGACTTCAGCCTGATATTAGCTTCCTAGCTCCGCAGGTATCTAGTAGGGAACAACTGGGACAGGCCGGTTAGAAACAGTCAATTTTTCTAATGCATAGAGTCACACCCATTGAACCATATGTAAACTGGGAGGCTAACTGCTATGATGAAGGCCTATGATTTGCTGAAGCCAAAATAGTTTTTCTGAGTTAAGAGCAGAAATAATTGATCCCAAACGTTGGGCTATATATCAAACTGAAGCTATTGAAAATTGCTATTCGGTGTGGAAATTTCAAGACTTCAGCGAAAAGAAAAAGATTTTAAAAATACAAAAACAACTGCCATTCGGCCAAAAATGGCAAATTATCGGCAATTATTTTTGTAATTTTTAAATATTTCCCTTTTAGCTAAAGTCTTGAAATTTCTACATCAAATAGCGTTTTTCAATAGCTTCAGTTTCATATACAGCACAACGTTCAGTGTTGAGTATTTCTCCTCATAACTCAGAAAAGCTAAAATGCGCTGCCTTCAATCCCCCCCCCCCTGAGTTAGCTTTCCAGTTTACTTACAGTTCAACGGTCGCACCCTATTGGGATGCCTACAGAGGAAGCTATTTTCACCAACTGATTTGCGAAAAAAGTGAACGCCACAGGACACAAGTACCTTGTATGTTTCCTTCACTTGAAATTTCATTCGAATGAGTTTCCTCAGTACTCTAACAGGAACATGTTTGGAACATCTCAAGTATCGAGTAGGAAATATCTAAAATATAGAAAGATCAAAATAAATGAACTTTTGAGATCAAAATGAATCGTAATGTCTTTTGAGAAAAATATATTTAGAATGATGATTGGTGTGCACGGTAATTCACCACAGCTAATATTTTGTATTCATGACATTGAACAACTTCATCTTACCTTTCTTTGATTTGATTTTAAAATATTTCGCCTATAATAACAAAGCATGTTTTAGCGGTAGTAAACCTGGTAATCGAAACTCAGCCAGTATTGCATCCACTTCATCCACTGTCAACGACCAATAAATCATGCATGAAAATGACAGAGATACTTCCTAAGTCAATATTTACTTACTGGTGATGATCTAGGGTCACATATACTGCATCTGAATGGTCTGCAATGTTTGCAACGCCTTCCACGTGACACCCACCTGCAAATAATATTAAATAATCAGTAATCGAACAACTAAATATGCAAAAACTGAATATATTACTACAAACTGTACAAAGAGAAGTTTACAATCCAATCTCAAACTCATTAATAATTCATGAGTCAACCATATTGCTTTATTTTGCTCAAATGATAATTAACAGTTATTCCACGAACTCGAGTCGAATATGAGCTGATAGCCGATGAGGCGCGTAGCGCCGAATTGGCTATCGCTCATATTCGACGAGAGTGAGTGGAATAACTGTTTTATTATATACACAAGGTCTGAATTCACAGACTTTGCTTTTCGGATATTTTCAATATTTTTCTGTTTTGTTTATGTTTTTATCTTCGCTCTTTCGGCCGATTATTTTTTCAAAATATATTCTTTTAACCATTTTAAATTTTAAAAATTCATTTGCTAACCTGTAAACAATTTTTGGGAGTTTTTTCATTGTGTTTTTAATCCTGTGAAGGCTATTAAAAAGCGACAACTTGCCGTTTTCTCGTTTGCAAAACATCGTAAATTCAGTTTGGCCGCCATTTTGTTTTTCTCTACTATTAACAGGATATGAGCTAATATCCTGCTAGTAGAGAACCAATCAGATTGCAGAATACCTCATATCCAGACCTTGTGTATATAATAATACTGGATACCTGATGAAGTACATTGATCCAGTCCTAGGACTGGATCAAAATTAATTCAGTCCTTGGACTGGACCAAAATTAATTAATAGTGATTATCAAATCCGACTATGATCAGGACTAGACTAGATTTCAAGTCCTTGCATTTTGATCCAGTCCTCGGCTTTGCCTCGGACTTGATCAAATTGCGCGGACTTGAAATCTATAGTCCAGTCCTGATTATAGTCGGATTTGAAATATTACGTAAATATTTGTGGTTGAACGTCAAGGCAAGCCGCAAATAAGCAAACAAACAAATGAAATGATTAGATGAAATAAGAATGCATTGACTTGATTGTGTCTTGGCTAAAAGTGATTTGATGTTATCAAGTGCATGTGAATAGAAAGAGACCTCCTGTTCCTTGCTTCTCAAACAACTCATGCTGGTGATCGAGTATGGTTAGATTATATATTTTCGCACCTTGTCTCTCTTCATTCCCATCCAGACTTGCTTGAAATGATTTTCGACTCAGACGTTCATCTAATTTTTAAATATTGATAATGAAAGTATACGCGAAATATGATTATTATTGTTATTAAAACTTTACTTGTGCAGAAGGATGTAAACATTTCAGTATAAAAATACTGGTATATTGTATTGTATTTTATAAACAGTGGTTTGCATAGTTATCTGCACTATCAAAGGATAGACATTTTGAAAGTTATCACTGCCACTGGTTGAGTCAGAACGTTCAATCAATAATGCTCTACTCGTAAAGGTTTATGCATGGTACACAAATTTACCGCCATCTTTTGAATACATCGATTGTTTTGTTTATAATTAATTGCAGTAGAAGTTTGAAGATTTTTTAAGGGTAGGTTCTCTGGTGGGTTTGTTACTATACCTACGCTGACACAGACCGTTAATTACATTTATTTACAGTTGTCAACTTACTTTCATATAAATCAGGTACTATTTTATAGACTATATCTTGTAACGTTGGATCTGGTCTGGAAGAAATCATGAGCATCTTATCACGTAACAATACTGAATAAATTGCGTCGCAGTTAAAGTATGCAAGGCCAAATAGCGCTATCCACCGCACGGATAGTGATATTTTCAAACTTTCTGAATTAAAGCTATATTTGTACTTCTTTTGAGGTTCATATCCGTAGGTTTTCGCCGGAGCAATTTTACAAAATCACTATGCGGTGCCGGTGATAACGCTATTCGGCCTTCGTTGACCGGCCCCCAGTATATGTATTCTTTGTATAACATAGCATTAATATTTGGCATTTTAAGGTCTGATAGGCCACTTGCATGCAGCGAAGAAGAAATGGTAACAAAGGCCTTACACAGTGAGTTACACTGTAAATTCAAAAGAGTAAAAATGATCCCAAAAAGAGTCGTTCTGCATGGGGTCGAATATGAACACGGAATGACTCCTTTCGGGTCATTCTACCTCTTTTGTAGGGGTCGTTCTGAATTTACAATGCACTTGTTCTGCAGGCTTTTATTTTGTCAGGAGTTTCTGGCGTAGGTGTGCCAATAGACTGCATGCATGCATGCAGCTGAACACGTACACCTACCTGACGTTCACCATGGGTTTTGTCTTGTGTACTTCTGTATGACACACAGGACAGTTGTATGAAGTGTCCAAGAAACGTACAATGCAACTTTTACAAACTATATAAATAGATTCGCGTCTATCATTTGAAATACTGCTTCAGGTTAACAGATATCATGGGTAGGTGATTTCACCAACACGGTATAATTTCAAAATATCCTGAGGCCAAAGTGACTATACAGATATTTGAAAATGGAAGGGGCTAGCGTACACTTACTGATGATTCCCAATTTGATCAGTGTAATTATCACCAAAAGCTCCGCATTATAATGCAGAAAACATGCCCTTGATCCCCCTAACTTATACATCCATTTATATATTTCAAAGACATCGCATTTAGTGTGTCCTGCACGCAGTGGCCGGGGGGGGGCATGGCCCCCCCCCTATTGTTGAGACCCGTCGGAAAATTGTCAATGTTGTCGGAAATTGTCGGAAAATTGTCAATGTTGTCGGAAATAGTCAAAGTTGTCGACGGGGAGAGGGGGGGTGAAGATTTAAAATGTTGTCGTCCGGAAAATTCTTTGGTTTGTCCGGAAAAATTTTTCGGTTTGTCGGAAAAGTACTGCCCTTGGCCCCCCAAAAAACATGGGTCCCACGGCGCCACTGCCTGCACGTACACTTCTGCCCGCTAAGTGGCACCATACCAAAGATTAGATACTATAAAGATGTGCCACTCGACGTATTTCCCTAATGTTTGCGTGTCCGTAATTTTCACTTACTGCCAAAATGGCGGCGAGACTGATGGCGTTGGATTTTACTATTTAGAGACTGATGGCGTTGAATTTGACACTTACTGGCAAAATGGCGGCTATAAAAAAATCTCGAGTGGCACATCTTTATAGTATCTAATCTTTGACCATACGATCCGATCTCCGCATGCCTTGTGAGGGTGATTATCATCAAGTATTAGTTGAATGAATAATCACCAACATTATGATCACATAAAGAATATCTATACTACTAACACTAGTCTCCTCCGCAGTCAACTCTTTGGCAAAAGTATTATAAATAACAGCAAATTTAAAATTAGGGATCACTGGGGATAAAGGGGGAAAACCCTATGGTGCAAATTGGGTAAAAATATTTACATTTTTGCCAAAGAGTAATTGTCTATACGGAGGAGGAGGCTACACTAACACCATGTTTTTTCATTCTAAACTCTAAAGCTTGCCGCGTCCAGCATAGCTGAGATGACATTGCATCGAACGAAGATGTGACCGTCTCTGCTTAATTTAGTGAGGAATCTTACTGATCGATCCCTTATTAACAGTTTTACCCCAGAATGAATGTCAGAGCAGGTAAGAAAAATACAACTAATATATATTAAACTTTGAATTATAAAAAAAATTCTTGTCGCCTGTTGTTGGATGATTTACTTACATGAATGAAGGCATTCTACAATGGTACAAGCGTCAATGAGATATCCCTTGCACAATGGACAGGTGAGATTTTCGTTTATTTCCGACAGTTTCAGTGTTGGCAACATCACTTTCACCGCTCTTTCTACCTGGAATGTATATGAGGCGGCCATAAGCATGCATTTAACTGACATGACTTTCGAAATGCTTGGGTACTTATTTCCGGCAGCATATATAGCCTTATAGGTATTACTGCCCCCAGGTGAAAAAATCCTGCGTACGATCCTGGGGGAGTGGGAGGGGGGACTTAAGAAGCTCAACATGATCAGTGCAGGGGAATGCGAATTTTGTATAGAGTTATTTTAGAGGATATATAGAATAGCGTGCGCGATCCAACTACGGCGAGTTAATCTACAGAAATAATTCGGAAAATTATTGATCAGTTGAACTTCAGCAAAGCCCTTAGTTTTAACTGATTTCATTCAGTGATTCAAAAACAACAAAGACGAAGAAATTTGTGAAAGACCAGTCCGAAGAAATTTGCAGAAAATGATCCATCTGTTTCCCACTTTTATGCCAACAATATCAAATTAATTCTTTTGCCCAATCCTGCGTCTACAAGCATCTCCTTCCAATATCAGAATTGGCTGGCCAACGAGTAACGGTTATTCCTGGATTATTCTTACACTAATCAGCGCGCTCGGTCTGACGAAGATGGGCACATTAAAATTGTTCCAATTGACAATGACAACGTGAATGAGTAAGGGCCGTCTTATAGTTATATAAAACAAAATAGTTCTTCTATTGATGTTTCTTCTACTTTATCTTTCGGCTGAAGGCTGTAGCGACCAGGGGGAGGTTGTTACACACCCAATATTTGTTTCATGAGTAATTTCAGGTAAATTTTGGAGGTGATTTTAACTGATTTACAGGTAAATTATAACTGAGCGTTGACAGGCAAACGTGGAAGTCAAAAGTAAACGCAAGCTAAAAATGCAAAATTTTACTTGCATTTCCTGGCTTTCCGACGGGTCCGGATTGATGTTTGAAATTTTCTCGGGGGACGAACATTCCTAGCGGATGCAATCTCGTATCCATTTATGGTAATATATATCATTTCGAAAGAGACACCTGCTACTTGATTGTACTCATGAAAAACACACTAAATTTCAAACATTGCTTTTAGTTTTAGGTATAACGTAAAACGTAATTTTAAAAATCAGGTAATTTGACCGCTCGTCTTTGGCTCAACTTGTCTTGTGACTCTTGATTTTGTCGACGGACATGCAATGACAATGTCAACAAAGACAATACTTCAATAGTCAATATTATAACACTAATATACATCAAGCACTGAATTTAGATCTTATATAGATTTAGACTTAGTTAGTATTTTTTACTTCTTAAATCTGAATGACGATTGTAATACTCGCTTTATTGATCATTATATCTATCGGTTCAGTCTCATGTACGTATCTTGTTGAATGTTGATGGCCAACGTTTGTGCTGATTGCCTGGTCTTCTCTTGGACACGGCATCCGTTTAGTTTACGCAGCTTGCAGGTTTTGCTCTCTACCTGGGGCCGGTTGTATCAAGCCCGTTTAGCTTAAACGGTGGATAAGTCAAAATTAAATAACACTCTTATATCTCTCGTGAATCAGTCAACTTAAATATTGTGCACTGAATATGTAGTTGTAAACATTATCGTTCTATTAAGGTTCAAAACTTTTAGTTTGTTGTTGAATGAATCTATAGACTTGCTTTCTATTTTGAGCTTAACCGCCGTTTAAGCTAAACGGGCTTGATACAACCGGCCCCTGACTGATATTTAACAAATATAAAACATTTTCCGTGTTGATATACAGTTATATCAACACGAGTGGAAATTGGGAAAACGAGAAATTGTGTGGAAACACGACGCCCGAAGGGCGGAGTGTTTTCACACAATTTCAAGTTTTCCCAATTTCCACGAGTGTTGATATAACTATATATCAATACGGAAAAAATGTTTTATATTTGTTTTATAATATAGCAATGTCAAAAGCCCGAAGAATAAGAACAATTTCCGTGTTTACAAGCGGCGGAAAATTTCCCGTGTTGACATGGAGTTATATCAACACGGCTCTTAGCCAATCAGCGTTCAGAATTTACAAATGCTATATTATAAATACGTATAACGTATTTGATACCTGTTCAGTCTTGAAAGTTGCTTTAGGGAACGAGAATGCATCGGTATCGTGACTATATAGTATTTAGTAAGTAGTATGATACTTACGAGTTATGTATGGACTATGGTTTATAGTACTAAAAGGGGTCGGTCTTTCCGCAAACCGCCGTATTTTATTGGTTTCTCCTTTATTATATTAGGCTTTACATGCAGTTACTCGTTACTCGTTAGCCGCCATGCATGTACTTTCGCTTGAAGAAACCGTATTAGTTATTACATATAACCGTCGTTTTCCTTATAAACTGATTATTGACAGTTGTTATCGGTCTTTTCTCCGGAACAGATATAAACAAGGTTTATTTTCCTATTTCGTTTCAAAACATACAAAATTGTTCAGATTCTGAATGAACTTGGTATAGCCTGACTGATCGACCAATTTGGAGAGAGCCGACACTCAACAAGACAGGACTCAGGAGACTAAAAAATCGTCGGAATAAGTTCTTTCTGAAGCTTCTGAGTCGGCTGATTCTGGAAGGTTGATAGTCTTCCTTCAAAAATAAAATATACCTGATTGAATCCATCATCCGCATATAAAATGCATTTACAACCTAAAAGTCGCGTATAGAAGGCAACGATATGATTTGCAGCCTGGATTTGCCGGTCATCAGCGATATAACTATTTCTTCATCTCAAGAGTCAAGGACAAGGAGGTATACATCGGAAAACCGAACTTATAATAGTCCTCTGTGACTGTTTTATTGTTAAATTAAGTTTTTTTTAGTATATGAAATACAGCTTTGTTCAAAAATAAAAAAATACTTAGCTTATAGTTATAACCTGCAAATGACTGCCGAGATATACTAAGCTAGTTGAGTTGAACGAGGCTGTTGTGTCCACCAGTTTAAAATTATGTTCAATACTTTTTTTACACGTTCATTATTTCCTTTCTTTGCTAAAATGTTGTTAATATATCCCGAATGATTATGCCTTCTGTTCTGGTCCTAAATTCAAAAACTGAATAACTTTATTGCAAGAAAAGTTGACGAGTAACTCATTAATTTCAATAATTTTTCTTGATCGAAACTGAAATGCCATTTGCACTGCATGACTTGATATTCGATTGCCTTTATACTATTTACCGTTTAAAGTTCTCTCACGGCTCTAATAAATAAATGAGAATTATTGGCTATTTATTTCATTTTCGATAAATTACGGAACATTACTTACCTTTAACAAGATAGATAAATCGTGCTCGATTATAACTAACTATAAACAAAACCCGTATTGATAAAACAGTTTTTATTGAGTCTGTCAGAAAGGCAAAACCTAACATAGTATTTAATTTCTCACTTTACAAGATGGCCGGACTTGACTCTCAGCTAAATTTAGCTTGAGTTCAATACTTTATTGCCTGCGAAAGAGCGGCATTTACAGAAATATAAATACATTGGGAGATAAACTGATGGTCAGTTCACAATATGTGCATTAAATAAACTTGTCCACTTCACAACAAAGTGATAATAATTACCTTCTTTAACCAACATATATTTTGACTTCCTTTTGCTGTGCTTCGGCAGACACACAGCTGATGCTGACGTGATATAGTGAGGTCACGTGACTCATTTACTATAGTCTATCATAGTGTTATAGTATGATTGGTATGGACAATGTGCTCAAAGAAATGCAAAGTGTTTAAAAAATGTTCAGTATATACGGATTTGTTTTACGCTTGGTGACTTTTGTTGTGATAATCACAGCCAATTATATTCATTACAATCAGCATGCAATCTTCTCTATGTTTATGGACTTTATGAAAAATTATATTACCGTTTTTATGCATGCCAATATGGTCTTTTTTCCTAGGCCTAAAAGTTAATGGTTTAAATATATTTAATAGTTATTCTAATTTCTATCAGTCCTATTGTACTCACAACTGATTATAAAATGCAAGCCCCAGGCCTGGTAAAACAAGTTTGGTCGCCAAGTCTCATCGATCGTTTCAACTCGTTTCAATTCGATCGCTTCAATTTTTTCATTTTTTGATGCCATTCAAATTGTTGAAAGTTGATGAGCGTTCTTGTTGCGCGTGGTAATATCCAGTCTATTCTCTATTCTCATCTCTTGTTTCGTTTGACCGCCATGAGAATTTGAACTCTCCGAGCCTGACTCATGGAAACCGGCTTGCTTGCCAAATCTCCGTAATTACTGTTCACTGATGTTCTCATCCTCGTTTCACAGTTGACCATTCAGGGCTTTTACAGTTTTAGTATACTGACTGAAATATTGGCTTTGACTTAATTTACATTTAATATGAAATTAAGCTCATGATGACCTTCATAAATACTAAATCCCCTCATTTCCACATAAAACAGCATTACCTATTAAGGTGCCTTTTAACGAATGCCAAATGAGTTATGACTTATCAGCTTTTAAACACGATAGTCCTAGACCTAGGACAAAGCTACACGGAGGCGAGAATACACTACAAGTACAATATAACTGCTGATGAAGATTAAAGTTCCTCCAACATAGCCGCAAGATGTCAAGTGCAAATCCAGAAAAGGCAAGGATATAATTATGCAGCATACACATCAGGTCAAAACGGTCACACTGGGAGACACAACAGATTGAACAGAACACACTCATATTCGTTCGGCTCAGTTAGATTAATATTGAAAATAGAGATAAACTAAACTGTAAGGTCTGTAAGGCTAACCTAGCTGATTATCTTTTCACACTATCTGCTATATTATCTGCATACCCGCAAGCGCCTGCTTGCTCGGTTAATTGCGAATAAACAACCTTCCACTAACTGAAGTAAAGTCACCTGGTGTGTTGGACAGATTTTTAAACGAAGTTATGGCAGTTATAATTCTTAAGCTATATATGTTCCTTTAGTTATAATCTGAAGGGGTCATCCTAATAAAATATAGAACTGCCCATTTCAACAACTTCCACGGCCAGATGGGCCAGTCCAGAATGAAATTCGATTTGTTTTTGTTTTACTTCAAATCATCAGTAAAGTTACTCAAATCTTAATAGACTGCTCAGTATCGTTTAGGGTTCAGGCTCAATTTGTCATTTGACTCATTTCATTTTCCATAAATTGGTTAAACGCCAAACCCATTTTTAAGTTTTAGGCCCCGTTTACACTATACCGGATTGCTATCGGAGTGGGTCAAATTTTGTAGGTATCGAAAGGCTGTGAAGATTTTTAATCTCGGAGACCCAAATAAACATGCCAATTCTGTCAAACTAATAAGCATTTGCTACTAACCATTGCTCCGTAACGGCAAAAGATGTCGTGACCAGCGAATCCGGTATAGTGTAAACAGGGCCCTAGAGTACCCATTCTATATTAATAATTATTGCTCATTTTGGAAAAAAAGAGCATAATTAATAATTATAAGCACTGACGCTGTAATTCCATCCTAGCTCGGTTACCGCCTAGCTTTGGAGTCGTTGTTGTTAATTGATTGAATTTAATTGAATTGGATCAATTTCGACCATGCATGTTCAATTGTTCCGACGATTCGAACGAAAATCCTTCGTTTGAAGAGTTAGATCGACTACACGAGTCTGAAGACGGAAAGCAATAGCAGTCGAATTCACTTTCAATACGGCGCCGAAGGAAGAGAGTGAAGGCGGGGTTAATTAGCGTAAGAATTACCTGCATGACCATCCCTAGGCCTATCTGTGTTATAGAAATAATAGCTGGAGAAGAGTTATATATGTAAAAAGTATCTGCAGAGAATTTGCAATTTACTCCGCCGATTTTCTTTCACATACGGTAACACTAACATACCATGAAATGAATTTGAATCGATCAGACATATATCAGAATACATGAGAATAGTGTCAAAAGTGAACAGTCCATCACATGGCACTGATTTGATACTTTTTCACAGCAATGATAGCATTGTCATTGGTATTGGGTTGTCCATAGAAATGCCCCATGGCTTTTGCATACATGTACGTAATCCTCGATCTTAATATTTTAAATTAAATTTTGTACACAAAAAATCAGTCAATTTCTTCCGGTCGCTGATATGGAAACGATTTTCGTGACAGCTATTCCATCAAAAGGCTACGGCATTTGCGGGGAATCCACATCATTCTCAGTGAAACGTCTAATGTGAGATTAATTTGAGATTTACACAACCTTTCGGGTAAAGAACAAGCTAGAATTCTCAATTCTGCCGTTAACGTATATGAATGTGAGATTATGGTCAAAATCGTGAATCTCGACTCTCATGGCAAAATCGTGAGACACTGAGACTTGGCATGTCTATTAATTTAAAAAAAAAATTGGGTGTATTTTCCAGCAAGAGTAGACAAGTGAAAACCTGAAATTTCTACAAAATTGACTTTTAAATTTTCGGAATTTTGCAGTGAAACCCGCCCCCTTTCGCCCACAGGATTCGCCATGTTGACATTATATACAACCACGTGACCATTTGCATACATAATTTGAAATCTTTAGAGTCAGCGTGATTATTGAATCATAGTATCGTACAGAGAGAAGAAAATCGATAAGAACGGCGATATAAGCGTGCTTCTAAGATATTTTCAGGTAATTGCCTTTCTCTAGTTGTCTTTGTATATGTTCACATTGATGTTAATAGCTTATTAAGAATCAAAATGTAGGTATATTATCCGATTTAGGCCAAGAATGGTTCACTATTTATATCACCGGTTCACGTTTCCTCGTTAACTATTCAATGAAAGCAGCACATGTAGAACATAAAGTAAACGACTCTCACACTAAACATGTACGCTTATGTGCGTGTTTTACACAACACTTTGCTTCACGTAAAGTAAACAAACTGCCTAGTTACTGATGGATGATCATTGACCAGGTAAAATATAGTATAGCTGCCCATGAACACAGATATTTACTAATACTGTAATAGCTAAATATAATTTTAATGTTATTGACTTCAAACATTAAAATCGAATCCTCTTCTTATATTCTTATTTCAATCTGTTTTAACATTATCTTTTTCATATCCATAACAGTAGCCTACAGCCTAAGTTTATATTTATGAACGTGTATAAACTTTTATATAACTTAATATAAGTGACACAAGGTGCAATAAGCAACAACAAATATTCCGTCCACAGTTGACTACGGGTATCTTAATAAAAAGTCGAATTTGCTGCAAAAATAGCAGAAGTAGCAATTATTATAAAATAGCAATTATTATAAAATAGCAATTATTATAAGTAGCAAATAGGCCTTTCCCTGATAAATCATCTGTTCTGTTTGCCGTATTTATACACAAACGAACTGATCCTTTTCCCATTCGATCCATATTAATAAAGAACGTCTCTGTGTGGAGATCCGACTAAAGAACTTTAGATAGGATCATCCGTTTCTAGAGTAAATCGAGCCAATGTAAACTCTCGTCCGAGCTTTCGTCTGATCAGGAAATTCGCAATTTCCTAGCCGTTCGTGGTGCATAATCAAGAGAGAAATCTGCAGACGGTCAACACAAGCTATCGACCTATCGTAGTTTGTTTTGACTAAAAATACGGCGTTAGACGACTATCATGAAACTTCGACGTATGATACAGTATATTTACTAAATCTGTATACTTGGCGGATGATTCGTTTCTACTATTGCAGTTTTTTCATTCAAATATATCTTGTGCTTGAACCGTAGAACGATTAAACCATAGATCGATTTGTCCACGCTCATCATTTGAAACAATTTCCCTGATGGGAGTGATGATGCTTCTTTAATTGGCTGTTCTTAATTTTGACCCAATTTTTGGTATAGCGGGGCAAAGTATATCGGTTTGTCCCCCAAAATGCTTGAACTCTAAAAACTGATGAAAGCCGGTAAGTTTTGAATCCAGACAGGAATGTCCTAAATTGTGTAGCGTAGTCATTAAAGGATCTTTTCCATTCATCGCAAAAACCAATTGCGAGTGCTTAACTGTTTGTATGTGATTGAATGAAAGTACTCGCAGCGAGCTTCCGAGTTCACCCTTGCGATGAGTGGAAATGGAAGATGTCGAAAACAGCTGAAGATTGAGTCACGATCTTTCTCATCAGCCGAAATACAAAATTTAAGAACTGAAAATTAATACGCGGAGTGATTAGAGAGTTTAAGCTTCGCGTTATACGTCAAACGGCAAACGCCAGGCAAACGGCAAACTTTTACGGTATCAGGCAATAAAGAGTAAATGAACTTGCTGTTTTAAAACTGAAATACATAATTATTCTTTCGACGCAAGAACTAAGAAAATATGAAACGAAAACGTTCAACGGAAATTTTGCCAAGAAAATTCGAACCTGCCGTTTGCCGTTCCCGGAAACGTGAAGCTTAAACTCCCTATTATGTCTATAACTAGAGAATACTCATGATTTATATGTGGTTTTACAAGTATAAGCTATTATAAACTGGTTGTTGAGAAAGATCGTGACTCTATTTTTACGACCATATGAAAAACGTGATATCAAAAAGAACTTGTAAGGACCTATTTTTATATATTAAAAATCAGTTTGAATATAAAGTAACAGTATACGACTAGATGTACAGAACAGACCTGCCACAAGTCAACCACCTCGAAGATGCTGCGTTGACTATAGTGAGTGATTTTTTACAGGTAAACTACGTCAAGCGTT